GTTCCGGTCCAGGTCTGTGGTTCCGGTCCAGTTCTGTGGATCCGGTCCAGTTCTGTGGTTCCTCCTGTTTTTCCAGCTGAGTTGGGTTGGAGGAAAAACGCGGCTCTTTGGGCCGGAACGGAGCCGTTTGACGGTTCTAGAAACCAGAGTTTGGGCCAAAGACATGAATTCAGCTGAGAGGAAAACATGTAGAAAAAATAACAAATGTTTTTATTTCATGTTAATACATTCTTAGACAACAACACAGAATAGTTGCATGAGTGGCCAAATGTAAATCTCTCCCACAACATTGGCACAGAAGCAGCAAGGGCAACAGGAAAATATCAAGTACAAACAGTAAAAAACATACATGCTTTCTTTTTAAATATATATACTCAACTTCCTCTGTTTCCCAAAACTTCTCTGGGAAAATCCAAGTTCTGCAGAAAGTATCGGAGGAACCAACAGTGAAGAACAGGAACCAAAGAAAAGAACGTTACATTTCAGAGCAGACGTGTGGAATCAGCTGTGCTTCGAATATTTCATTATTTTCAACTTTTTTTCTGATTCAGTTTCAACATCAAACATATCAGGCATGCATCGACAATCTCCACAGCAGCAGTCCATGAAATCACCAGGTTCTTCAGGGACTGTGGGACAAACGGACGCTCCCTCTGCAGAAACGCCGTGACGGGAAACCTTCCCTGAACTCGCTAACAAAACCTTTAATCGGTTTGGCGTAGTGCCAACAACCCGCTGAGTTTTCTAACCAACCGGGATCTGAAAACAACTAAAGTACAGAGAAAACATTTCAAACCGCTGGGAAACTTTCACCGATCACCTCCATCCCAGGAAACGGCAACACTTTGGAGACGATCAGGGATTGGCTGAGGAAGCAGGTGGTCGTCTACTGGCTAGCTGCTGGTTACCAAACCAACCGGGTCTCCTGGTCCGGACGGGTTCTGGTGAAACAGAACCTGCGTTTCACCAGAACTGCGGTGAAGAAGAGCCAAGTGGACAGAAAAGTGGGAAACTTCTGAACCTGTCACGAATCGGCTCAAGAGGTCAGGCTGTGATGTGACAACCCCTAAAGATGATGTCATACCTCACATCAAACTTCCTGTTTTAAACGAAGAAGTGATCTGATTGGTCAGCTGCTGTTTGATGCTTTGCAGCCAGCATCCAGGCTCGAGCCATCAAGCTAACGCCACCGGGCCGCTCAGAACCGTTCTGCCCGTCCTCCAGCCGTTGGTGACGTTTCCATGTTGGAGTCCAGGCAGAAGCGAAGCAGCTCGGCGCCGTGAACCCGGCGTTGGACCAGCAGTTATCCTGATGACCTCTTGACCTCTGCTTCACATTCTCTCAGCTTCTCCGTTTCTCCACACTGGCAGTGGTGGGCACCGCTAGCTAAACAGATAGCTGCGCTAAAGTGCTAATCACTATTATTGCTTCTGCTAATGCTAAGCTGCTGTGCCAACAAAGTATTTAGCAGAAGCTAATGCTAAAGGGCTAACTTGAATAAAAAGCACAGCTGAGATGTTCGGCTTTAAATCGTCTTCATGTTTGTATCTTGTTCTGTTGGGTCCATGTTTAGCCTTGCTTCTGTAAAACGATGCCTGCGTCCAAAATAATGCCGGACATCAGTTTGTAAAACATTTTCAAAGTTAGCAAAGAAGCAAAAGTGCCAACATAAAAAAAAAAAAAATCATTTTCTGTAATGCCTTAGGACTTCAGGATTATCTTTTAGTGCTGTTTCTGTATGTTTCTTATTTTAAATGAAGGGAAAAGAGAGATTGTGACCAGGAGTGAATCTGCTGCTGTTATCTAGAAAAACCGACCGAGTGAAGCTAAGTGTGCTGAACATTTTCAAAGTCAGAATAATGATGAAGAACTACTGGGACCAAAGCAGCGATCGCATCCTTTGGGTGGTGATGGCGGCAGTCATTGTGACTTGGCTGAAATCTAAAATCTGTCCCAGGTTGAGCTGTTTTTCACTATCCTAGTGTGAAATATCTCTTCCTTTTAGTTCGTTTTTATTTGTGTGTTCTGGTTTTACTTATCAGGTTTTAGTAAAGGTTTTAGCGTTTCCTCTCTCAGGGTGGGGCCTCCACCATGGCGGCTCGCCGGCATGCGGAGGCACCACAGCGTCCGCTTTTATTTGACGAACGAGGCAAAGAAACTGAGCTGAGGAGGTTTAGACTTGTCCCGAAAATTGATGCAGCAAATGCTGAAGTTTCGGCCAGATGACCTGAACTGTATCCTCACCCTGCCTTTCAACAAGGGATACGACGTGAGTTTTGTTTCCGCCGCGCTTCTGAAGGATTTCTGGACCTGGGAAGGAAGGAAACATCCAGCGAGGGGGGGAGATGCAGACCGAAGGCGGAGCTAGCTCGGACTCTGAGGAGCCGCAGACGGACAGCAGCGATGATGCCCCCCTCCCCGACGCCCAGCTGGCCAAGAGGCCGGCATCGGAGTCCCCGCTTGACGGCACCAACACGGCGGAGAAGAGAGGGAGGAATCCATGCTCTCCCCCTCGGACTCCTTCAGCCAGGCCTCCTTTCTGAAACTCGCTCACCAATCAACCCCGAAGGACCCAAACGAGGTATCGGCTCTAGAAAAACGACCGAAACCGAGACCATTAATGTTAGAAGTCGCGAGTTAGAGCGCAGAGCGTTTTATCATTTTTACAGGAATGTGGTCTCCCGTTTTTTAAACATTGCCCCCGGTGGCAGGATTTATGGCCACCGTCCATATGGAGCGGCTCTAATGTGGCCATTTTAATAAACAAGCCGCACATCCTGGTGAAGGCAGCACTGTGCTGAGAGAGGGACTTTTTAGCAAATCTGACTTTTAACGGACAGGATTTTAACCTTAAATATTTATGGTTTTAGTGATAAACATGACAGGTACGACTTTTTAGAGGACTGCAGCCCCACATGCTGGGAAGGAAACCTTTAATAGTTGGGGGGGATTTTAACTAGAAAAGACAGGAAAAGAGAGACAGGATTTTAAAATAGACAAGACATCGCTTTTTATTACAGAGGATACTTTGGGATTTTAAACTAGTGGACTGCCAAAAACGGATCTTGAAAACTGGAGACCCCGTCACCCTTTTAAACGTGGACTATAAACTTTTAGCAAGCTTTTAGCAGCCAGGATGCACCGAGTGTTGGGGGATCTAATCCACCCGGATCGCCTGCGCCGTGCCGGGGAGGAAGATCACGGACAGCCTGGTTCTGATCCGAGAGCCTGGTTCTGATCCGAGAGCCTGGTTCTGATCCGAGAGCCTGGTTCTGATCCGAGACACCATCTGTTTTGCGAGAGCCAGAAACATTCGGCTGATAGTCCTAATCTAGATTTAGAGAAAGCGTTTGATCGGGTCTCCAGAACCTCCTCCAGGTACTGCGAAAAATGGGTTTTCCCGGGAGGTTCGTAGAGTGGGTGGGACTGCTGTACCGAGACATCTCCAGCAGATTTCTGGTGAACGGGTTTCTGACAAAAGCAGTGGAAGCGAACAGCATGGGGTGTCCGTTATCTGGTTCAAAACTAAAAGAAAAAACAAAGCGCAATTTTATGGCCCATGGAAAGAAAGTGAAAAGACAGGATTGCAGTTTGAAGTAGAACAGGAAGAGTTAAAAATACTGGGTGTGAAATTTGACAAGAATGGGGGGGAGGAGAGGAAAACTGGATAGAGAAAATCAGGAAAGTAAATCAAAGATTAGGATTTTGGGGACTAAGAGCGCTGACGCTAGGAGGCAAGATTTTAAATCATTAAAGCTGTGATTTTACCCGTTTTTACTAACCAGTTCTGTTTTTATTCCTCCTAGGAGAGTGGTTTTAGAGCTGCAACGAGACATCTTTTATTTTATCTGGAACTCCAGGTGGGAAACACTGAGCAGAAATATGATGTTTAAACCCAAAGAGAAAGGAGGGAAAGGACTTCCAGAAATGTTTTTGTTTTTATACAGCACTCACCTCAAACAAGCGCTGAATATCTCTACAGATGAAAAGTCAAACGCAATGAGCAGAATCTGGATGGGAAACATATTTCAGAAAATTCAAACTTTTAAAAAGTGATTTTAGAACACCAGTAGCTTTTAACCTCCCACCAGCTGATGCTTTTATACAGATTTTTAGAGCATTTTAAACTGGAAGGAGAGGAGGACAGGATTTTAACCAATCATCGTTTTATCTCTGTTGTGCAGGACCGGGAACCAGGACCGAGAACCAGGACCGGGAACCAGGACCGGGAACCAGTGACTCCAGTGCGCAGACTCCTGTACGGAGACGCCACCACCGTTTGGCGCAACGTGAGCATCCCGTCCTCCCAAACAGACTCCAGGACCTGTCATGGATGGCGGCTCATGGGATCCTTCGGGTCAGAGCCGTCATGCTCTCCCGCGGCATGTCCGCAACGTCCATCTGCCCCCGACCCGGTTGTGGCGCGCCGGAGTCGGTGAGGCACCTGCTGTGGGAGCGCAGCGCTGCTGAGGACCTGCGGGCAACGGCCGGCTCCTCGCAATTCCCACACTTGCCAGCAGGGGGGGTCCTAAATGCACAGCTCATTCTGTACAGGTGAGCCAACAGAAACTTACAAAAAAAGACTTTGCAGAGATGTGGCTCACCCTCGCCACCATCAAAGACGCCATTTGGACCTCCAGAAACCTGCTGGTGAGCAGCGCAGCCAGATCCCCCCGTGGCTGTGATCCGGATGGCGGCAGCAAGAAGAGAAACATCAGGAGCTGCCGAGGACACAGCCACCAAGAAGCCGGCGCCTCCGTGGACGGAGGAGCCGGTCAGAGCCGGAGGTCCCGGCAGCGGCGGCCTGCCTCACAAAGGGGGACCCCCTGCTGGGCGGGGAAGGACGGGATGACTCTGGACTGGATGGGGAGTCACCCCTTGTTCTTGTTTGCTTTTAGTTTAATTTAACTAACAAAAGTGTATTTTAAAGAAAATGAAGAAGATTCTTTGTATCACTGCATAAATGCCACATTTTTAACTGTCCCAAGTAACCATAAACTTTTTTATTAAAGAAAAAAAAACAACAAAAAAACTGACCAAAGCAGACAGGTCTTTTTGTGGGTGACAAATTCAATTCAACAATAAATAAATGGGGCCATGCGGCGCCGGTGGTTCTACAGAGAGACTTTTAATCTGGGCAAAATTCTGACTGATATCAATATTATAATTATCACAGGAAAGGAAAATGTAAAGTGCAAAGTACTCATGTGTTTTATAATAAGTAGAACCATATTTATCCAGAGACTTTTAGTGGAAAGTAATCTTATTGAAGTTGACTACAGAGCCAGCGTTCCAAAGAAAGCGATCCGAATCCAGTTTCCACAATAAACAATGTCTCCATAAAACAAACGTCCAAAATCCTCTGAGGTTTTCCTACCAAAACTCAGCCAACAACAAATCCGGCTTCATTTCAACAATGTTCTCGCATGACAGCAGTTTGGACACACCTGCACCAAACAAAAGCTAGCTCTGCTGTTAGCGCATTAGCACATTAGCATCAGTGTGCCCACCACTGTACACTGGAGACGCTTGGGGTGTCAGGCGGGTCGGACTGGACATGCAGAACGGTCACATTAACAGAAACCATCGCCTCAGAAACACAAAGAGCCACAGACGGAGGAACCGCAAACACAAGCTGGGAACCGGACAGGATGGGAACGGACGCACACGACGGCACTGGCACATCACAGCTGCTACTTCCTCTCACAGCTCCTCCCACAATCCTGCAAAGCATTCTGGATGTAGAGTTCCCAAAGTTGGAGCACGAACATGGACCTGCAAACCAAATAAAACATGCACCATCGATAATTACATGAAGCTGTGAAGGTGGTGGCGTGGTCACCGTGCGCCTCAGTCTCAGTCCAGAACCAGCGGACCGGTTCCACTGGTTCTGGACGCGTTTCATCCTCCAGCCTCCAGGTGGCAGCGTGAGCTCAGCTCTGCAGGTGTGTGGCTTCAATAAACACAGAAAACAATGAGATGTTCATCCAGGAAGCAGAACGGATCCGCCAGCGGGCCAGAGTCATCCCGGCACCAGAACGAGCAGAACCGAAGGACGGGTCCGATGGAAGAAAGCGACGGATGAATCAGCCTCCAGAACGCTCCGGGTTCGGCGCGCCGTCAGGTCAGACACCTCCGTCCCATGAGTCCACGCTCAGAGCGGATCAGAACAGAACCGGCGGCCCAGTTCCCCGGCTGAAGAGGATCGGACCAGCAGACCGCTCGCAGATGGAGGATGGAGTTAGATCACGACGTCGTTGTAGCTCACGTACTTGGTCTTCGCTGCTGGACCTGCGGACAAAAAGAGACGCCATAATTACCAGGAACCCGACGACTGGAGTTCAGAGGCCAGAGGTCAGGTATTTGTCCCGGTCATTCAGAGAGATCCTAACCGACTGGTTTAGGATGATAAATCACCTCCCACCTCCTTCCACTGTTAATGTTCATCTGAAAGATGAAGCAGCCTGGAACCAGCAGCTTTGGGTTGTAAGTTCTGACCCCCAACCAAAACCGCTCCAGATTCAGTCGGTTCTGAATCCAAGTAGAGGAAGAGGAGCGAATGTTCAACATCCTTCAGGAGTTTTCCATGAGCTGGAGGTGATGGAGGAGCTGCTGCAGAGACTTTAGCAGGAACTCCTCTGACTTTTAGCTGAAGCTAGTGAGGGATGATATATATGTATATAACATAACAGCTGTGCTAAAGTGCTAATCACTATCATTACTTCTACTAATGCTAAGCTGAAGGAACTGTCAATATGAGGCTCTTAAGTTCACTGAGAAGGGGATCTTAAGGCCCTCCAGACTCAGCAGTGACTGTAAACAATGGATTCATGAAGAACTAAGAAGCTCTCCCCAAAGCCCCGCCTCTCCCCGAAGCTCCGCCTCTCCCTGAAGCCCCGCCTCTCCCTGAAGCCCCGCCTCTCCCTGAAGCCCCGCCTCTCCCTGAAGCTCCGCCTCTCCTGAAACCCCCCTCTCCCTGAAGCCCCGCCTCTCCCGAAGCTCCGCCTCTCCCTGAAGCCCCGCCTCTCCCTGAAGCCCCGCCTCTCTCTGAAGCTCCGCCTCTCCTTGGCCGTCATGGGCAGGAAGCTGACTGAAGGGCGCCCCGAGTATGTTGGGGCCTCAACGCTGCAGGTTTGATACAGATGAGGAAAAACGTTGAGACACGATGGGAAGGTTGATTTTACACAAACCGCCCTTTAAAAGCTGAATCGTGAGCTTACCGCTGTTCTCTTTAATATTTAACGTTTTTTCTGCTCTAACTCCTGAAACGGCGGCGTTCAGACCGCAGCTCTAACGACCGTGCGGGTGATAAACATGAGGGTCGCGGGCCGGCCGGAGCCGCCAGACTCACTGCTGGGCTCCAGGTTCTCGCACAGCTCCGTCTTGGCCTCGCCGTTGGGCCGGTCGGCCGCCTTGTGGGACAGCCGGGACGACATGGTGGCGGCGGTGACCACGGCCTTGAAGGAGCGCTTCCTCTTCTGGACGTTGAGCTCTGGGTGGAAGATGATGACGTAGACCTTGGGCACAAAGAGCAGGCCGAGGGCGACGGAGGCGCTCAGGTTCATGGAGACGGTGAGGGTGGAGGTCTGGATGTAGAGCTGGGGGCAGAAAACACCAGATTAACCAGGAACCACAACGGCCCGGAACCGGCCGGACGGAACCAGGTGGAACCGGCTGGACGGGTTTTACAGTGAAGGATTGTTTTATTGCTGTGTTGCTCACCAGCAGCACCTGGTTCTGAAGGTCCATGAAGAGTTTATATCCAGTGGATGTAAACACATTTAAAGCCACCTGCTGAACCCATCCAGAACCAGAACCAGAGGAATGCAGTGAACCACCGACTTTATGTTTTATGGCTGAAGTGGAAATGTTCTCCAGATGTAGCCAAGAGTTAAAGCTGCAGTTGCTGCATCCGAGGTCCAATCAGACACCAGCATCTGGTGAACAGCCAATCAGACTGCAGCATCTGGTGAACAGCCAATCAGACTGCAGCATCTGGTGAACAGCCAATCAGACTGCAGCATCTGGTGAACAGCCAATCAGACTGCAGCATCTGGTAAAAAGCCAATCAGACTGCAGCATCCGGTGAACAGCCAATCAGACACCAGCATCTGGTGAACAGCCAATCAGACACCAGCATCTGGTGAACAGCCAATCAGACACCAGCATCTGGTGAACAGCCAATCAGACACCAGCATCTGGTGAACAGCCAATCAGACACCAGCATCTGGTGAACAGCCAATCAGACACCAGCATCTGGTGAACAGCCAATCAGACACCAGCATCTGGTGAACAGCCAATCAGACTGCATCTGGAGGACAAAGAGACCTTTGCCTTCAGGTTGGAATGAAAGAAATCCAAAGATTGAGCCGGATAACTATCAGAACCAGAATAGGATCAGATACAGATCAGAACCGGAACACAAGATGACATATTAGATAGAGCAGAAACAGCAGCAGTTGTTATTGGGATTCAGGTCACTACTTCCACTAATGTGGGGCACTCACAGTGAGTGAATGAGTGTGTGTGTGTGTGTGAGAGAAAGTAGGAGAGACAAGGGAAAACACTAATTGATCCTGATCCCAGAGACGAGAACAGATAAAGCAGCAGAATCAGAGATAAAGAGGTCGTCCTGATCCGCTGCCTGCTTATCAAACTGCAGACTGCTAACTGGGGGCTAACAGGCTGCTAACTGTTGGCAACATGCTGACCAACAGGCTGCTAACTGGTGGCTTACAGGCTGCTAACTGGTGGCTAACAGGTGGCTTACAGGCTGCTAACTGGTGGCTAACAGGTGGCTTACAGGCTGCTAACTGGTGGCTTACAGGCTGCTAACTGGTGGCTAATAGGCTGCTAACTGGTGGCTAACAGGTGGCTTACAGGCTGCTAACTGGTGGCTAACAGGCTGCTAACTGGTGGCTTACAGGCTGCTAACTGGTGGCTAACAGACAACTTACAGGCTGCTAACTGGTGGCCAACAGGCTTCTAACTGGTGGCTAACAGGTGGCTTACATGCTGCTAACTGGTGGCTAACAGGTGGCTTACATGCTGCTAACTGGTGGCTAACAGGCTGCTAACTGGTGGCTAACAGGCTGCTAACTGGTGGCCAACAGGCTGCTAACTCGTGGCCAACAGGCTTCTAACTGGTGGCTAACAGGCTGCTAACTGGTGGCTAACAGGTGGCTTACAGGCTGCTAACTGGTGGCCAACAGGCTTCTAACTGGTGGCTAACAGGTGGCTTATATGCTGCTAACTGGTGGCTAACAGGCTGCTAACTGGTGGCTAACAGGCTGCTAACTGGTGGCTTACAGGCTGCTAACTGGTGGCTAACAGGCTGCTAACTGGTGGCTAACAGGCTGCTAACTGGTGGCCAACAGGCTGCTAACTCGTGGCCAACAGGCTTCTAACTGGTGGCTAACAGGCTGCTAACTGGTGGCCAACAGGCTTCTAACTGGTGGCTAACATGTGGCTTACAGGCTGCTAACTGGTGGCTAACAGACAACTTACAGGCTGCTAACTGGTGGCTTACAGGCTGCTAACTGGTGGCTAACAGGTTGCTTACAGGCTGCTAACTGGTGGCTAACAGACAACTTACAGGCTGCTAACTGGTGGCTTACAGGCTTCTAAATGGTGGCTACCAGGCAGCTTACAGGCAGCTAACTGGTGGCCAACAGGTGGCTTGCAGGCGGGTTACAGGCTTCTAACTGGTGGCTAACAGGTGGCTTACATGCTGCTAACTGGTGGCTAACAGGTGGCTTACATGCTGCTAACTGGTGGCTAACAGGCTGCTAACTGGTGGCCAACAGGCTGCTAACTCGTGGCCAACAGGCTTCTAACTGGTGGCTAACAGGCTGCTAACTGGTGGCTAACAGGTGGCTTACAGGCTGCTAACTGGTGGCCAACAGGCTTCTAACTGGTGGCTAACAGGTGGCTTATATGCTGCTAACTGGTGGCTAACAGGCTGCTAACTGGTGGCTAACAGGCTGCTAACTGGTGGCTTACAGGCTGCTAACTGGTGGCTAACAGGCTGCTAACTGGTGGCTAACAGGCTGCTAACTGGTGGCCAACAGGCTGCTAACTCGTGGCCACAGGCTTCTAACTGGTGGCTAACAGGCTGCTAACTGGTGGCCAACAGGCTTCTAACTGGTGGCTAACATGTGGCTTACAGGCTGCTAACTGGTGGCTAACAGACAACTTACAGGCTGCTAAACTGGTGGCTTACAGGCTGCTAACTGGTGGCTAACAGGTTGCTTACAGGCTGCTAACTGGTGGCTAACAGACAACTTACAGGCTGCTAACTGGTGGCTTACAGGCTTCTAACTGGTGGCTACCAGGCAGCTTACAGGCTGCTAACTGGTGGCCAACAGGCTTCTAACTGGTGGCTAACAGGTGGCTATATGCTGCTAAGGTGGCTAACAGGCTGCTAACTGGTGGCTAACAGGCTGCTAACTGGTGGCTTACAGGCTGCTAACTGGTGGCTAACAGGCTGCTAACTGGTGGCTAACAGGCTGCTAACTGGTGGCCAACAGGCTGCTAACTCGTGGCCAACAGGCTTCTAACTGGTGGCTAACAGGCTGCTAACTGGTGGCCAACAGGCTTCTAACTGGTGGCTAACATGTGGCTTACAGGCTGCTAACTGGTGGCTAACAGACAACTTACAGGCTGCTAACTGGTGGCTTACAGGCTGCTAACTGGTGGCTAACAGGTTGCTTACAGGCTGCTAACTGGTGGCTAACAGACAACTTACAGGCTGCTAACTGGTGGCTTACAGGCTTCTAACTGGTGGCTACCAGGCAGCTTACAGGCTGCTAACTGGTGGCCAACAGGCTTCTAACTGGTGGCTAACATGTGGCTTACAGGCAGCTAACTGGTGGCCAACAGGTGGCTTGCAGGCGGGTTACAGGCTGCTAACTGGTGGCTAACAGACAACTTACAGGCTGCTAACTGGTGGCTTACAGGTGGCTTACAGGCTGCTAACTGGTGGCTACCAGGCAGCTTACAGGCTGCTAACTGGTGGCTAACAGGTGGGTTACAGGCTGCAAACTGGTGGCTAACAGGCGGGTTGCAGGCTGCTAACTGGTGGCTAACAATAAACAATATTACCATTTCTTTCAAATGTTGTCCACAAATCTGTCTAAATGTTCGATAGTGAGCACTTCTGCTTTGCTGAGATAATCCATCCCACCTCATAGGTGTGCCACATCAAGATGCTGGTCTGACATCATGATTAGTGCACAGGTGTACCTTATACTGCCCACAACAAAAGGCCACTCTGAACGTGCAGGTTTGTCACACAGCAAATGCCACAGATACCGCAGGCATTGAGGGAGCGTGCAATTGGCATGCTGACAGGAAGAATGTCAACCAGATCTGTTGCTCGTGCATTAAATGTTCATTTCTCCACCATAAGCTGTCTCCTAAAGCGTTTCAGAGAATACGGCAGTACATCCAACGGGCCTCACAACCGCAGACCACGTGTAACATCAGCCCAGGACCTCCACATCCTGCAGGTTCACCTCCAAGATCGTCTGAGACCATCAGACAGCTGCTGAAACAATTGGTTTGCATAAGCAAAGAATTTCTGCACAAACTGTCAGACACCGTCTCAGGGAAGCTCAACTGCATGCTAGTCGTCGTGTGGGTGAGCGCTTTGCTGCTGCAAATGTTGTGGATCGAGTAGCCCATGGAGTTGGTGGGTTGATGGTATGGGCAGGCATCTGTTACGGACGAAGAACACAGGTGCATCTTATTGATGGCATTTTGAATGCACAGAGATACCGTGATGAGATCCTGAGGCCCATTGTTGTGCCATACATCCATGAACATCACCTCATGTTTCAGCAAGACAATGCTCGGCCCCATGTTGCAAGCATCTGTACACAATTCTTGGAAGCTGAAAATGTCCCAGTTCTTGTATGGTCAGCATACTCACCGGACATGTCACCCATTGAGCATGTTTGGATGTGCTTGACCAGTTCCACTAATATCCAGCAACTTCGCACAGCCATTGAAGAGGAGTGGACCAACATTCCACAGGCCACAATTGACAATCTGATAAACTATGTGAAGAAGATGTGTTGCACTGCATGATGCAAATGGTGGTCACACCAGCTACAGACTAGTTCTGAGTCTCCAGACCCCCAATGAAGCAGAAACAGAAATGCACATTTCAGGGTGGCCTTTTATTGTGGCAGTATAAGGTACACCTGTGCACTAATCATGATGTCAGATCAGCATCTTGATGTGGCACACCTATGAGGTGGGAAGGATTATCTCAGCAAAGCAGAAGTGCTCACTATCAAACATTTAGACAGATTTGTGGACAACACTTGAAAGAAATGGTAATATTGTTTATTTGGAATAAATTTTAGATGTTTGAGTCCATCTCATGAAAAATGGGAGCAAAACAAAAGTGTTGTGTTTATATTTTTGAGTGTAATTGATACCAGGACTCTTCCTCATACCTGAGGCTTTAGCAAACAGAAATCATGTTAGTGGTTCTGAACCAAAGGAGGATAATGGTGGACGTGGTTTTTTATTGGGCGCATGTAAACTTCTGGTTTTAAACTGTACATGAGCATGCATATCATGGATCCTATATTTACCAAATTTGGACTGAACATATTCCAATGCATATAAATACAGAATTTATCTAAATTATTTACATCAATGTAAAACTGAGGAGCCTTTTAAATATTTGTAGAAAACCTGAGTGTTTAGTGGTATGAAAGAATGTAAGCAAAGCAGAAAAATAGCGGAAAGGATCATTACAGCAGCAGGAAGAGAACGTGGAAACGGCATGAATATTAGAGATGCTCTTCAGCCTCAGTTCCTCCCAGCATCACTTTAAGCAGAATATTTAACTCTGAAGCGTTTTCTTATCTCTGGATGTTCCTTTCATTTCTGTAAACACTCCACATCATTACTGATGCTTTTCTTTCTCTATCTGACCCACTTTTCCACAAGTGAGAGGCTCACAGCTGCCAGCCAATCACAGAGCAGAACGGCTCTGCACTCCAACCAGATGCTGAACCTCAAACTGGTTTCATCCGAGATGTTCAGGTAGTTCAGCTTCAGAGACCTGCTAATGTGACACAGCGCTAATGTGACACAGCGCTAATGTGACACAGCGCTAACAACAACGTTAACGTGACGCAGTGCTAACATGACACAGCGCTAACGACAATGCTAACGTGACACAGCCCTAACATGACACAGCGCTGACGACAATGCTAACGTGACACAGCCCTAACGTGACACAGCGCTAACGACAATGCTAACGTGAGAGATACAACAAAGGAGAGATATTCTCTGTTAACGGGCAGAGCTCTGCCAGCAGCAGGCTCTGCTCTGCCAGCAGCAGGCTCTGCTCTGCCAGCAGCAGGCTCTGCTCTGCCAGCAGCAGGCTCTGCTCTGCCAGCAGCAGGCTCTGCTCTGCCAGCAGCAGGCTCTGCTCTGCCTGCCTCCGTCCTTCACTGTTGGTTGTTTCTTCAGATCAAAACAAGATCATACAAGCAGCTGACAGCTGAGTGTCCTCATTAATGATAATTAAAAATGTATTAAAATGATCAGCATGGCGAGAAGTCGTGACAAATCACTAGTTAGGCGCGATCACACATGTTGGTGCCATATGGAAATTAATTTATTTTTAGTTTCATCATCGTGACTAATTTTTAAATCCAGACAGAATTAGACCAGCTGATTGATTTCAGAAAGATTGTAGTTCTAGTACAATCACCTGGATGACTGGACACGAGGCTGCACATTCTCACCAGTAGGTGGCGGTAATACCCAATTAAATTATTCACCAAGGAGCATTCATCAGAAGTAGAAGAAGAAAAGGAACCAATCACAAACCCTAGAAGACAGCATCGTACCGAGCAACGGGTCGACCACACCCGGCAACGGGTCGACCACACCCAGCAACGGGTCGACCACACCCGGCAACGGGTCGACCACACCCAGCTAGTTTCTTACACATTTCTATCAGTGAATCTAAAGTTGCTCAGCTGCTTTCAGGTGTTCTGCTCTAGAGGAGATGAGAAGGACCAGGATGGGACCAGCGATCAAGGTCATTGGGGCCGATGGAGGACGAGTTGAGAGCAGAGACCTCTGATCAGTGAAGGACAAGCAGGAGGATATTCAAAGCAAACAGGAAGTCTGGAGAGATGTAACAGGAAGCATGGAGCGGCTGTCTGCAGCAGCAGGTCAGTTTCTCTCCTCCTGTGTCTCTTACGTCTCAGCGTCCCTGCTAAGCTTCAGAAAGCCTCCCTGCTCTGCCGCTGATCTCTGCTGTCAGAGGCAAAGCGCTCAGATTTATTTACGTCGCTCAAACCACACGTTACAAATCTGCCCCACAGGTCCGTAGATTCTGCGGCGTGGAACCGGCTCTGCTGACCTCAGAACAGCTTAGCCCATCACTCCAGAGCTACTTCATCCCGTTATCTGACGCTGAGGTCTGCGGCGCGTTGCAGCAGGCCACAGGTTACGGCTAACGGTCTGAGGAGAGCCGGCGGCGACTCCTCCACCGGGAGAATGAAGCCACGAGCTGAAGGCTGAATCAGGCTTTTAATCAGAGATGTGATTCTAGATTTCTGCTCCTGGATCCAATAAAACAGACCATTAGATGGCCAATGGTGCCGCTCCTTTAAAACCAGTCCTTAATGGGAAAACGTGGAGCCGTTCCAGTGTCTGGATGAGGAGAACATAATTAAGGCTGCAGCTAAAAATTATTCTAGTAATCTATAATTCTGACCATTAATGGCACATTCTGCTTATTAAATTTTATTTTATACGTCAGAAATACGTTGAAGATGTAAAAACAAACTATTCAATTCCTTTTTAAAGAAGAAAATAAATATTTTAAAGCATTCCTTCAGTGATGGCTGGATCATCTGTAGCAGAGGTTGAATCTGCAGCTGCAGGAATCATCTACACTGTAAAAACACAAAATCTCACTACCAGGTATTTCTGTCCAGTTTCTACTGCAAATATCTCAGTTCAGTTGAAAAAATGTTCTCAACAAGATATAGGAGTTTGATTCAGCCAACAATTTCTCAACACTGACAAAAAGAACTAGTTCCACTTGCAGATTATTTTACATATGACACGAGAAAAATGCTGGTTTATAAATAAAATAATCAGTGGAACCAATACTTTATCATTCAATAATTATTGGCTTAAAACAAACTTATATATCTTGCAGAATAATTTATTTGCAAGTTATTTTCTCTATAAACTAAGATTTATTTTTTGCAGCCCAGACTGGAACTGAAGAGTTTCCTCCCGTCCAGCTTCAGAAAGAAAACATCCAAATGTCTCAAACTGGAAATCCTGCAGAATTTGTGTCAGCAGAAAATAGAGAAAATGTTTTTATTATTTTGTCTTTTTGCTTGTTTCAGCTGTTTGGACAGAAAAGTGAAAACCAGCTCTGCGGTTGAACAAATGGGCCTTTCTCTTTTTGTTAAGAGTCCTTTCATTTTTTTCTGAAATAGAAAATAAAAATCTAATCGTTTTTGACACAGAAGAAGAGAAACGCGTTCACATCCTGCAGCAACACACTGAGGCCTGTTTGTGTGTGAATGCAAGCAGCTGAGGAAGGTAAAGTCTGTAAAGCAGGGAGATAACAGGTAAACACTCTGCTTTCTGACTCGCTCTCCCAGATATTCTGCTGCCTCAGGCTGCTGCTCCCACATTCGGAGTCAGCCGCCGCCGCCTTTCAGATCCTCCAACAAAGCAGAATGAAGTCAGCCCAGACCTGCCTGCGAACACAAATCCTCACACAGACATGGAAACATCTGCAGCTACCACCAAGAAACAGTCAGCAGGGCCGAGGAGATTCCTGAGCTGCAGCTGAAAAGCTGCTTTTATGTGAGGACAGGCACAGCAGGGGGTCAGAAAACCACCAGGAACAGCACCGCCGGGTCAGTCCGGTCCGGCGGTGCTTACAGGAGAACAGTTAGAGGTTTGAAGATTTAGGATAACTGTATTTCATTTTCTTCTTTAAGAAGTTCAGTTTATCACAAAGAGTCCAAATTATAATATACAGTAAAATTTAATCGGCTCTTACAGACGTTAAATAATTCATCATGTTCACTTTACTATTCTCAAAACTTTCTAAAGCTAAACGTTCACTTCAAAGTTTAGCTTGATGCTAAATATTCAGGTTACTAATTAAATATTATGGTTTAAACTGATAATTTAATTATCAAATTAATATTTACTTTGAAGCTAAATGTGGACAGCAGGGGGCAGTAGCTCGTTAACGCATCAGCTTTCAGATGCATATTTAACGACAGATCACCAATGAAGATTTATTTTTGCACCAAAATTGCCATCATACGTTAATAATTTTAGTGTCAAGTTGTACATAAATGGACACAGAAATTATATTTATTTCTATTTAGATGAATGTGGTTATTGTAACATCATAGCCTATATATTTTGAACCATGGAAATCATATATTTTCTTCATTTTGTGCTTCTCTGGTAGATATTTTTCAAAATGGCTGCCATGGTTGTAATGGAGAATATGTTTACAGTAAAATCAGCAGTTATTGTCAGTGGTGGGTATGGCTAACCAAACAGTCACCAACTGCTAATTCACTGAACAAGAATCTCAGTTACGGTAATCCTAAACTGCTAAATACATAAAAGAATTAGCAGAGGCTAACGCTACCCATTAAGATGCTAACCTTTCAGGCTTCCCCTCATTCTGGTTGGTGACCGGTGGGAGAAACAAACAGCAAACTCTCCAGTTTGTGATTTTGCTGCATATTATGACATTAAAAGGGCAAAATTCAGTATTTTTCAGGCACAAAGAAGCCCTTTAAAAACGACCTGATTGTGTTTTTAAATACATGAAATATGACTTGTAAATTTTTAACGCCTTGAAATTGGGCGTCTGCCTCTTTAAGACAGAGGTTCTGTCTGAAGCTCCGCCTCCAGGAAGTCATCCCAACATGACTGCTCTGAGCAGCAGCTCCTATAATGAACCCAGCAGGTATTTGCTAATTGCTGGTGGCTAGTCTGAAGGAGCTGAGTGCAGAGTTGGAACACTCAAGGTCTGTTTTTGTTGAGGAAATAACATACTAGGATGTAAAGCTCGAAAGATGTAATTTTACATGTTAAAGCCCCTTAAAAGTTGCATGAATAGGATGAATGTCGTCAAAATACGATGTGATAAAAATGAATCCAAAACATAAAGAGGGAAAGTTTTAAGGCAATAATTGGCTCAAAAATGGCGGCCATCTTGAAAGACGACTGAAATCCCAAAAGTCCGTGGCTAATGGAAAACACAGGCCCTGAAGGCTTAGCATGCTAATGCTAGTACTTTTCACAGTAAAACTCCTACCTTCTCTGCAGACTGAGCCGTGCCGAAGAAGATGGGGATGAAGGCCAGCCACACGATGCAGGTGGTGTACATGGTGAAGCCGATGGGCTTGGCCTCGTTAAAGTTCTCCGGGACGCCCCGGGTCTTGATGGCGTAAACAGTACACGTCACCATCAGCAAGATGCTGTATCCCAACGAGCAGATGATCTGCAGATCCGTGATGTCACATTTCAACACGCCCCGCGCCAGCTCGGGGTCAATGGTCCTCTGCTCGTCGAAGTCCACCACGGTGTTGGGCGGGTCCACCCCGAACCAGACCAGAACCCCCAGCAGCTGCACGGAGATGAGGCTGAAGGCGATGGCCAGCTGGGAGGTGGGGCTGATCAGCCGCGGCGCCGTCACAGACTTCTTGCCCTGCTCGAAGATGCGGTAGATGCGGTTGGTCTTGGTGAGCAGCGCGGCGTAGCTGATGCACATCCCCAGACCCAGGAAGACCCGCCGGAACGAGCACACGCCCACGTCCGGCTTGGCGATCATCAGGAAGGTGATGATGTAGCACAGGAATATTCCGGTCAGGAGGACGTAGCTCAGCTCCCGGCCCGACGCCCGGACGATCGGCGTGTCGTTGTAGCGCACGAAGGTCGCCATGACAAAGATGGTGGCGATGATGCCCAGCATGGCCAGGAACACGGGGATGACCGCCCAGGGCGAGTGCCACTCCAGCTTGATGATGGGTATGGGCCGGCAGGAGGTCCGGTTGGCGCCGGGCCGCATGTTGTAGGCGCAGAGCTTGCAGCTGAACTCGTCGGCCTGGAACTGGTATCCGTCGCAGGGCTCGCAGTGCCAGCAGCACGGCATGCCCTTCACCACCTTCTTCCTCTCGCCGGCCTCGCAGGGCAGGCTGCACACCGAGACCGGGACGTCCTGCTCCCCCCGGGGCCACCGCAGGTCCTCCATCTGCAGGCAACAGGAGGTCAGAGGTCACCACGACAGGGCTCTACATCAGTGGAGCGTCTGGAGGGAACTACAGGGAACCAATTCTAAGGTCAAATGTTCACAGCAGTAATTTGGGTTATTACAAGTCACCATGTTGTTCATTTATAGACAGTTTCAAACTAAATATTTCATTTGCAAGCTAAATATTAAGCCTAATAAATACTTAGTGAGCAGCTCTGAGCTAAATGTTCAGCTAATAAGCAGATTCACTCATTATGAAGTGGACTATCAAAATAAAAGCTGAGTCTTTGCTGCTGTGGATCCGTTGCTAAAACGGCTCGTCTGTTTCAGCTGAATGTTGGACAAAAAGAAAACAGATGACGTGGCGTAGGGGAAGCGCGACCCACGTTTGGAGGCTTGAGTCCTCGACACGGCCGTCTCGGGTTCGATTCCCAGAGCCGACGACATTTGCCGCATGTCTTCCCTTCCTCCTGTCAGCCTACTGCCATATGAGAGCCACAAAAACCCCTGGAGGGAAAATGACATGAGGCGAAGGAGGAGATTATAATTTGAAAGATTCAACTTTTATTTTGGTAGTCCACTTCCAGAAATCAACAAGTGAAATTGCATAATGTAAAAATATTTACTATGCACTAGCTAAATATTTAGTTTGACAGTAAATGTTTAGCTTCAAACTAAATAGTTAGCATGAAGTTAAATATTAAACTTGCTAACTAAATATTTATAAATGAGCCCAAATTATTGCTAATTTGACTCAAAATGGCACAAGATCGTTTTTATGACACAAACTGGAGACATATTTCATTCCTGAAGCCAAAAGAGAACAGGTAGACCCAGAAGGTCGTCTGTCCGTCCAGCAGCGGCTTCAGAACCGCAGCCGGACTGACCTCAGGAATTCAGCCGTCTGTTTCTGCTGATCTGATCTCGACTTGCCGTCTCAGGTCCAGAGTCCAACATGCTCCCTCGTCTCTGCAGGCTCAGGGTTGTGAACTCTGTACGTCTGAGAGGAAGTGAGACGTGAAGCTGCTCCGGGTCAGGCCAGAATCAGCAGAACCGCCTGCAGCCTGCTGGGATGTTTCACCGCTTTTCTGTGAAAATCTGCATTACTGTCGTTTTTTGCGTCTCCTTCCTGAGAGAACCGTGAAACTGATGATGATCCATGTAAACGAACCATAATTTATGGTGAAGAGCGTTTATATCTCGGTCTGTCATTAAATATGCGTCTGAAAGGTTCTTGTACGGAGCACCGAGAAGGCCAAAAAGGTGTGAAACTTCCTAGAATTGCTCTGCTTTCAGTGAGAGTTTTTCTGTTTCAAACTTTTATTCTTGCCTTTCGGGGCAGTTGGACAGACTTGGCCACAATTTTTATACTTTTCTCTTTATTTAATTTACCTCTGGGATCAATAAAGTAATTTTGAATTGAATTAAACAAAGGGAGCAGCTGAGACACACCACCAGTGAATTACAGGTTGCTTTCATCCAATTAGATTACTCCATGGATGCAAACAACCAATCAGCCAACGAGTCAAAAGCAGAAACTCGGATTTCAGAAAAACAATCCTGGGACCATTTCGTATTGAGCTCTTTGTGATGACGTCATTTCTTGTGGACTCATCCTCTGCTCCACTGGTCGATGCAGAAACGATCCGTCGTTTCAGGAAGTTTGCAGCAGTTTCTCCGCGCCGCCTGCGGGGGGCGCCACCCGCGCCAATCGGCAGTCGTCTGGCATCAGAGATAGAATCTGGAGAGGCGGATGGGAAGCATCGACCGTCCAGAGATCCAGGTCAGATTCCCTTAACCAGGCATCAGACCGGCGATCAGAGAGACGCCGGCGCCTCCCAGCCCGTCTCCATCTCCAACAGATTGTACTGAGATAAGGGCGGTTCTGATCCATGAGAATTACATCTCCCAAACAGAAAGCCGATGAGAAACGTTAATATTCCTGTTTTTATTCTCAGAACGGCTTAAAGAGAAAAAACAGAGAGAAACCAGCTTTTCTCTGAACTGGTTCCGAGTCCTGCAGAACCAGAACCGCTCAGCCGGACCTGTTAGAAATCAGCATCATCTGCAGTCATCACTGGGCGGCGGAAACATCTAGGAACAAGCAAAGTTTCTGATTTTTATTCTCTGTAGGAAAAAATGTTTTGCACCTTTACTGTGTTGAAAGAAAAGCATTTAGTTTTCAGATTCTTTTGTGTCCGACTGAGTAAATGTATCTGGATCGGGTTCCCTTCCCGGGGATCGGGTTCCCTTCCTGTGGATCGGTCTTCACATCCCGTGGATCGGGTTCACATCCCGTGGATCGGGTTCCCTTCCCGGGGATCGGGTTCCCTTCCCGTGGATCGGGTTCACATCCCGTGGAGGTCTGCGGGGAGTAAAGTTGCCCTGTGGTTGTCAAAGTCCAGGTTGCTCTGATAGGAACCACCTGCTGCTGGTGCTCTTTGTCTTCCTTCCACTCAACTTTCTCCACTATGCTGGACAGAGCAGCCAGTTTCCTGTCCTGTCGGGCCAGCGGTCCGGAGCCCAAGAGAACAGAACATTCTGTGAAAATCCTGTTCATTGATCCAATGAAACGTTTTAATCTCAGCAGCTGAATTATTAAACCAGAATGAGCAGAAATGAAACCATGAATCTGATTTTATGAACCGGATTGTTTTCTCAGTTTGGTTATAATCTTAGTTTCTGTCCGTTTCTGTGGAGGTGTCGGGTTTTCGGGTCGCTGGGCCGGTCCCGCTCAGAACCTGGAGCATCAGTCTCTGTTGGTTCTGTTTAACGGAGTGGATCGTTTGTGGGTTAATGTTCAGATGTTCCGGCATAAATCAGAAACCAGCTGAGCCAGAAAATTAAACTCTGATGAAGGTTCCTGAACTCAAAGTGAGGTTCTGGACGGGTTCCAGGCTGAACGGGTCGACAGGGAGCCATCCAGACAATCAGAAAGGAACAGAAATTATTCAGGTTTTCATCTCAGTCATGAGAGAAAAATTCAATTTTATAAGAAAATATCTTCAGCATGTTATTCACTCACTTATAGAGACCAGTTTAAAACTAAACATTTAATTAATGTGGAAAATAAAGGCTTAAAATGATCTAAAATAAAATCTCACTGTTCAGTTTGAAGCTAAATATGTAGCATTAAACTAAATATTAGCTGGCTAATTTTAGCTCAAAGCTAAGTAGGAGCAAAAGAATAAGTTACAACAGCAAATTAAAATGAATATGAACTAAATTAACTAGACACTTAACTAGAAGATGAATATTTAGTTTGTAGCAAAATATTTAACAGCCGTTCAGGAGCTAATTATTTAGCTCGTTAATTAAATATTTAGTTTGAAACTGGGACTTTTATGAATGAGTAACTATGACTTTAAAAATGTGACCCCTATTTTTTAATGACAGCCAGCTGGTTCTGGACCTACAGAAACCCATCAGAACCAGAGGCTGAGCCACAGAGACTCATCAGAACCAGAGGCTGAGCCACAGAAACCCATCAGAACCAGAGGCTGAGCCACAGAGACTCATCAGAACCAGAGGCTGAGCCACAGAGACCCTTCAGAACCAGAGGCTGAGCAACAGAGACCCATCAGAACCAGAGGCTGAGCCACAGAGACCCATCAGAACCAGAGGCTGAGCCACAGAGACCCTTCAGAACCAGAGGCTGAGCCACAGAGACTCATCAGAACCAGAGGCTGAGCCACAGAGACCCATCAGAACCAGAGGCTGAGCCACAGAGACCCATCAGAACCAGAGGCTGAGCAACAGAGACCCATCAGAACCAGAGGCTGAGCCACAGAGACTCATCAGAACCAGAGGCTGAGCCACAGAGACTCATCAGAACCAGAGGCTGAGCCACAGAGACTCATCAGAACCAGAGGCTGAGCCACAGAGACCCATCAGAACCAGAGGCTGAGCCACAGAGACCCTTCAGAACCAGAGGCTGAGCCACAGAGACCCTTCAGAACCAGAGGCTGAGCCACAGAGACCCATCAGAACCAGAGGCTGAGCCACAGAGACCCATCAGAACCAGAGGCTGAGCCACAGAGACCCATCAGAACCAGAGGCTGAGCCACAGAGACCCATCAGAACCAGAGGCTGAGCCACAGAGACCCATCAGAACCAGAGGCTGAGCCACAGAGACCCATCAGAACCAGAGGCTGAGCCACAGAGACTCATCAGAACCAGAGGCTGAGCCACAGAGACCAATCAGAACCAGAGGCTGAGCCACAGAGACCCATCAGAACCAGAGGCTGAGCCACAGAGACCCATCAGAACCAGAGGCTGAGCCACAGAGACCCTTCAGAACCAGAGGCTGAGCCACAGAGACCCTTCAGAACCAGAGGCTGAGCCACAGAGACCCATCAGAACCAGAGGCTGAGCCACAGAGACCCATCAGAACCAGAGGCTGAGCCACAGAGACCCATCAGAACCAGAGGCTGAGCCACAGAGACCCATCAGAACCAGAGGCTGAGCCACAGAGACCCATCAGAACCAGAGGCTGAGCCACAGAGACCCATCAGAACCAGAGGCTGAGCCACAGAGACTCATCAGAACCAGAGGCTGAGCCACAGAGACCCATCAGAACCAGAGGCTGAGCCACAGAGACCCATCAGAACCAGAGGCTGAGCCACAGAGACCCATCAGAACCAGAGGCTGAGCCACAGAGACCCATCAGAACCAGAGGCTGAGCCACAGAGACTCATCAGAACCAGAGGCTGAGCCACAGAGACCCATCAGAACCAGAGGCTGAGCCACAGAGACTCATCAGAACCAGAGGCTGAGCCACAGAGACCCATCAGAACCAGAGGCTGAGCCACAGAGACCCATCAGAACCAGAAGATGAACATTCCTCTGAATGTTTCCATGGCGGCAGAGCATCAGGATAACGGATCCTGACGTCTCCGTCTGTTAACAGCCGGTTCAAACTGAGGTTAGCCCGGTTACTGCGGCGTGGCGATCCATCAGGCTCCTCCTAACGACTCGGCCCGTCTGCAGGGAGCGCCGCAGCCAGACACCCAGGAGTTATGAGGACGGGGAAGGCGGCCATCATGGGACGCTTAACGTCAACGAGGCTGCAGCTGGAGCGGCGCCGCCGTTCAGAATTATTTACAGACGGGAAAGAGCAGAGGCATGGCTCTGCATGCAGAGCAGGACAGGACCCGTCCGGCGCCAGCTGGGGACGGAGGGACCGTCCGGCACGCGGTGGACAAGGTGAAAGACAGGGGGACAGGTGAGACTAAAACAGATCAGACAGATCAGGTTCTAAAACCAGACATTGTGGGATCCAGTCCTGGTTTGGGACACAAAGAGACAAAATAAAGTGGGACAGATGACGGCTGTCCGTGTCCTGCTGGCCCGACGGAAAATTTTTTGTTTGTTCTAAAAATAAAAAAAAAATAAAAAAAGTTTTGCAGCTCAACCAGAAACCAAAAAATATTCCTGGATTCCTCGGATCATTTCAGGATTCTGTTTTCCTTCCTCCAGGTTCTTCAGCGGTTCTGTTCAGTGACCCGGTCCATTTGTCCACTGCTAGTATTGCTAAACGCAATCCTTCAGTAAGCTAGCTGACCACCAGAGGGCGATCTGAGAAGCCACCCGACTCTGGTCAGAACCAGAATCCGGTCAGAACCAGACTGGGTCAGATCCCGGTCAGAACCAGAATTGGGTCAGATCCCGGTCAGGACCAGAACCAGTATTAGACTCACATTGAGCTGCAGCGTCTCGGTCCACTGTCCCACCGCTCTGTATCCCGACCCGGTTCCGTTGCTCCGCTGGTACTGGAACAGGTCGTAGCGACCCGGAGCGTCGCCATTTCTGTTGAATGTCACCGATGTGCCGGCACTTCCTGTGGAGGGAGAACAGGGTCAAAGGTCATATTCACCTGCACTCTGATTGGCTGATTCAGCCAGGAAGAAACGACACATGGACACATGAGGGATGAATGTTGGGTTGGGTTTTTCAGCAACCCAAGAGCTTCCTGTTTGTTACATTTGATAAATATGTCAGAGTTTAATAATGTGAAAACCATTTCCTGGTTATTTAGTCGATGCAGCATAAAAACCACATTATGGTTTATGGTTTCAGCAGATTGAAGTTCAGCCCTCTGGGAAAAGATGGCCGCCGTCCTCGTGCAGGAGGAACTCAGGACTTCGCTGCTCATCATGACATGCAGGATCTTCAGAGGAGTCGTTGTTTCTGATAACCGGTGAAGGACGCCGGGTCTCTCTGCTGTCCTTTGGCTTCTGTTTACGATAATCCGGAGCGTCTTTCTGCCGCCGCAGTGATTTCCCTCGGAAATCCTTAACAAGACGAAACATCGAGCTTTCAAGTGCAGGTGGAGATTTAACCACTGCAGATCAAACAGAGAGCGGCGGCGGCCTCGTTATGGGCAGCGCCGTCTCAGGGAGGTGATGGAGGCCCTGCTGTCATAACGCCATGTTTCATTTGCGTTTTGGAGCAACTCTGGAGGCCAGAAAAAAGCAACTCAGCAGAATTAACTGGCTCATAAAGTTCTTGCAGATTCTCTGACTCGGGTCCGCCCGCAGCCGACTCGGGTGAGGAGAGATGTGACCTAATCGACCTCTGACCTCTGATCCTCCAAACCTCGGTCTGGTCAGTTTGAATGTGAGCACCAATCAGAGTGTAGACCACTCCAAAAGCAGGAAGTGGACTACAGCGCAGGGCATTCTGGGTAAATCCAACCAATGCTAACATGTTAGCTTACCGTTAGCAGCAGAAATGGCTCCTGGTCTTCAGCCAAAGACTAAAGAGAAATCACTAAACTCTGACGCGTCCACCTTGTTTCATCTGGTGAAACAGGAAGTTGCTCTCAGTGTGTTCAGAGGTTTTAGTGTCGTTTCCTTCAGTGATTGTTGGTGCAGCGCCCCCACAGGCCAGGAGGAGAACAGGCTGGTTGGACTCAGAACCACAGCAGCTGGAGGTGGAGCAAATGATGGAGTTCTAATACAATCGATTCTACCATCCAGTCTCATTATGACCCTTTCAACTGAACTCATTAGTTTCCATCCTGCTGTCTGACTCCACAGTTTCAGTCTGGATCTGATCTATTTATCCCCCAGCTGTGAGAAACTGTGATAATGGAAGATTTCACAATGAGTCACGTTTTCCTTCAGTGTGTTTATGATGCGGAGCTGCCTGGGTGTTTGTCATTCTGACGCCCTGCAGCCCGGCTTTACGGGCCGCTCAAGGCCGGTGGCCCACTCACCGTTGAAGCCGACGCTGCGGATGTACTTGAGCAGTTTCTTCCCGCCGGCCAGCTCCATCTCTGGGCAGATGCCCGACACGTCAGGACACAGGTCCCGCTGCATGTTGTGCAGCGCGTGCGCCATGGCGTACACGGCGTCGATCACAAACTGCACCTTGCCCTCCTGCTCGTACTTGGAGTGGATGCCGATTCGTTCCTGACCTGAAACAGAGAGCAGACGAGAAAATGAGCCAGAGGGAAGATCGGCTTCCTCTGGTCCCGCAGCCAGACAGGAAACGGGACTTTAACTGAAATTTTATAAACCAGGCCTGTTTAGGCCTCCATATCTCTCACCCTTCACAAGTATTACAACAACTAAATATTTAGTTTTACAAAATTATTAAGTTCAAACTAAGTATGAAGTGAGCAAGCTAACTCCAAGATAATATTTAGCTTCAAACTAAAAAAGCTTCAAAATAAATATTTAGTTTAAATATTGAGCAAAGAGCTAAAGTTTCAGCTATATGCTAATTCAGTTACCAGTAACTGATTTATCTGTGAGCTAGCTAATTATGTAGTTAGCACACAGATAAACGTTTGTGTTCAAGCTAAATTTAGTTAATTAAATTAAAGTTTAATTAAAAATATAGTTTAACTAAATGTTTTGATAACTAAACATTTAGCAAAGAGATAAATGTCCAGCTGGTCTCAGGTGTCTCAGCTGGTCTCAGGTGTCTCTCAGCTGGTCTCAGGTGTCTCTCAGCTGGTCTCAGGTGTCTCTCAGCTGGTCTCAGGTGTCTCTCAGCTGGTCTCAGGTGTCTCTCAGCTGGTCTCAGGTGTCTCAGCTGGTCTCAGCAGGATTTCCCTCCTTGCTGCTTCTCCTCAGAGCCGATCCGAATCCCTCCAGGCTCCATGTTTTGCTGCCTGCAGCTGAATGTTTTCTCTCCTCTCTCAGTGAGCGCCCCTTATCTGTCCTTCATCCAGGCGTCCCCCAGACGCGGCGGATAATGTTATCGGGACGGCAGAGCGGCTGTAAACAGCTGGCGTCCGCCGCCATGACGACAGGCTGCAGCAGCAGCAGGACAACGGGCGCAGGAACGACCAGCTGCATGTGTCCACTCTGACCGTCCAAGCCTTAGTCCTTTTTCAATGCAGGTTCGATTCCCACCCTGGTGACCGGTTCTGTCAGGCCAGATCCAGGTTTAGCAGGGCATGAAGGATCCTGGGTTTGTTCTGCGGGTTCTGGACCGGATGGTCCGACTGCTCCGTCCCAGAGAACAAACTGTTTCAGGGAAAAGAGACTCTGACAATAAATTATACGGAGCAAATGAATCAGAGGCTCCAGAGTTCATATTGTCCAGAATCAATCAGTCAGAGACGGAAATTAGAGCCAATAACGGAGGAGGGAAAATGAGCCCACAAGATAAAATGTTCCTGTGTCTTCGATCAATAGTCCAAACAGAACCGGCTCATTAGCGATCGGGCCGGCTCTCGCTGCGTCACTAAATGCAGCGCTTCATAGATCAGAGAGCAGCTGCTGTTGTCCATCGCCACGGCGATGCAGTCTGTCTGAACCGACCCAGACCAGGAGAACCAAAAATTCATCTGTCAGCCGTTAAACGCTGCGTCTTTGTCATGTGGAGCAGGGCTGAGCAGTTACTATCTTCCCTCCGGGATGAGTTCCAATCAGACCAGAAGGAATTTGAACTTTTCTGTGATTTAAAGGTTTCAGGAGAATCTGGAGAACATCATTACAGTGTAGCACCGGTATCAGTTCTAGGCTCTAAGGAGTGGGGACCAAGAATGACATCACCAGAGACCGCTGCTTTAAGTGAAACAGGCCAGCAATTTACTGAATGCGAAACACACACATAAGATGTGATACATAAACAAACAAAAAATAATTTCTCTGCAGGTTCTTAATAAGGAGGAGAATAACAATGACAGGGGACAAAAAAATAATCATTCAAGAGTATATCACTCTTTCTTTTTGCCCTTTAGTTTACCTAGTTTATTTTAATAAGACTAATCTAACTTAATCGATCTCCGTTCTCCTAGGTTATTTTAGACAGACTAATTTGACTTAGTCTGTCAAATAAGATTGCACCTATTTTAGGATTCCCATTTTTCTTGAGTTAACTCGTTTCCTTTCTTTTACAGGTAAGAAAATACCTCCAACACAATCAAACCAAAATGGACCACAATTATTCAAATCACATTCAAAGACATAACATATGAAAATTAAAGTATTGCACTTTAAATTCGAGTTCAAGTCCAAATATGAATTCAGGTATTCAGTTCAATAGAAACTTTTAGTTCAACTCAGTCCAAAACAAAAAAATAATTCAATAAGTTCTCAGTTCGATCTAGTTCCTGATGCTCCTACCGCCCTGGCAGCGAGTTACCACATGCAGGAGAGTCCCTCCCTAATGCGATGGAGAAGACGAATTGAAGGTCTGGGTCGCCATCTTGAATCCCGTCTGTAAATGTGCAGGCCGCACACGGCAGACCAATCCTCGCTCCCAACAATAAAACTCTTTTTAAATCCTCAAATTATACTAATAAGTTCTTCTTAAACCCAATATGTTGACCAAATAACATTTTATGACGGAGCATTTCTTCGTAACGGCTACGTTTTTTAGCATTAGCTCTCCGCCAAAAGAAAAAGTACAACACAGTGAAGTGCGGAAAAATAAACATAAAACTCACCGAAACCGATGTAGCTTAGTTCTCATAAAATTCCCGTCAGTTCCCGACCAGATAGATTATGTTTCTCAACTATAATATTAACTTTTGCTGTTAATTAATCACCGCTCTTTTCCTCTGATTCCTCCTCTGCTCTCTCTCCCGCCGGCCTGTGCGCTGCAGCGTCACTCAGCGTCACCTGTGACGCTAGTCCCTTAAAGGAACAGCGACATGATTTTCTGTCTACAGACTTTTAATCAACTATTTATTCCTATTTACGTCACATTTTAACGTGGGTTACAACAGGAAACAGGAAATGTTTCCTTCCAGTGTTTGAAATGAAACAAAATTATGAAATGAACGCTGAAAATGAATTTCAGTGTTAAATTTTTTTTTACAATTTACAATAAAATGCAAAAGACAAAAAGAAGCTGAGTATCTGACATAAAATACACAAAAAAAGGACATAAAATGAAACTGGGTGGATAGAAAATCACCTTGTTTGGTAAATAATTAAAAAAATAATCATTAAAAGCGCCAACTTTGTAAATAATGACACTTTAATGCAAAGTTGGCACTTTTAATAATTACTTTTTAATTATTTACCGAATGACACTTCAGTCACAGACATTCATAAAGACTCCTTCATTTTTATGTCATGTCAGTCTTATGCACACCTCGAGTTCTTCTCTATTAATAAATAAAAGCTTTCTGGCATAAACCGGACAAACAGATGAGAGAAAAGCAGAAATGTCGCCAGCTTCACACCGACCTGTGCACTTCCTGCTGCTGTCGTCCTTCTTGGAGGAGCTCATCAGCTTGCAGTTGAAGTTCTCCTCCCAGTACTCGGCGAACCAGACGTTCCTCCGGTTGTTCTCCAGGGTCCGTGACATGAAGTAGGCGTCGAAGCCTGGAAGACAGCAACAGAGGTGGCTTTTATTCACAGCATCCTCTAGAGCGTGCAAATGTTTATCTGCTCGTGTTCGAGAGGCTCGGCTCAAGAGGAGTCAGAGGGGAGAGCTTCCTCCTCCTGCTGCACGTTGGAGTGAGCAGCTGCTGCCTGAACACAGCGCTGCAGGAGCAGCATGGAGGACAGGACGTCTGCAGGAGCTTCCTGATTATTTACAGATCACCAACAAAACCAAAGGTCATTCAAAGAGTCGCCAGAGTGAAGCTGCTGCAGAAACGAGTGGCTTTTAATTCCCTTTTTCTCTCAGTCAGTCAGTTTTTATTTCTATGATCAGAAACGTTTGGAGAGCAGAGCAGTGAGAGGTCTGGACATCCTGGAGGACAGAGGACGTCCCAGAGGACACAGGAAGTCTCAGAGGACAAATGTCAGGAAGCTATTTTACTTTCTAGAGATTTTTTTATTTAGCTAATATTTAGCTAAAGTTGGCTAAATATCAGCTAGCATTAGTTAGCTAGCAGATATTTAGTTACCTAGCTAAACATTGAGCTGGTCATGTAGCTAGCTAAATATTGAAAATGTAGCTAAATATTTAGTTTACAATCTGATATTTACTGTAGCTCCATCTTAAATATTTAGTGTCAGTAAATGGAAGTGGACTATCAAAATAAAAGCTGGGTTTTTAGAGCGGCTGGTGGAAGTTTAAGCGTCGCCGTTAAAAGGGAAATAGGTTCAGAAGAAATGGCTTTTATTTTGATAGTCCACTTCCAGGATCAGCAACTGTATTTGCATAGAGGCTAAATATTTAGCTTTAAATTTAGTATTTAGCATGCTAACTGGGTATTTAATTTGGAATTGTGGCATTATGAAAATAATGAACATGGTGAAATATGACTGAAAGATCAACGCCGTAAATAAAACCCACTTCTTTCTCCTATGAAAGTTTGTGTAACTTTGCGAACAGCGCCACCTAGAGGTCAGTAGGATCTGGATCTCTCAGCTGTTTCTGCAACATGATGGTTTGACCCGAAGCTCCGGTTCCTCTTCATCATCTCGAAACCAACATTTCAGATAAAAAGGTGCTGCCCTGTTTCCTTCAGCTGGCTGGGATGAACAGATTCCTTTAAAACCAGCAGAACCTGGAGCTTTGGGAAGGTTCTGGTTCAGTCAGCGCCATCAGTTCCTGACTCCCTTCATGTGTTTGCTGACAGTCAGAGTTATGGGAGGTTATAATCTGAAGAGGAGCTCTTAATCTTCCCCGTCGGACGGAGCTGCAGCCTCACCGTCACCGACTGCCTCAGACGTCCTTGACGCTCCGAAATGATCCCAGCGATGCATAAATATAAATAATTCCTGACGGGATAAAATCAGGATCTTCACCTCGCGTGGAGCTGAAAGTCACTGAGGAGGCAAAGAGGAGCCAGTCAGGAGGCGACGAAGAGACGACCAGGTTGGGACGCTCCATCGCCCTGCATGGATCCACTGATGATCCAGAATCCAGTTTGGATCTGGTGACAGACGACCATCAAGTAAGAGACATAAAATTCATCTGATTTTTGTTCCATTTCCTCCATAACTGAAGAAAAACTGTGGAAGAATCAAATGTTATTGGCATTTAGTTCTGCTGCAGAGAATCAGGAGTCTCTGCACAGCTTGGCCGTAATTTCTCCCTGGAAGCGTGGTTACGACGCTGCAGCAGCGTTACGATGCTGCAGCAGCAGAGCAAACATTTGGAGAACATAACAGGGTCTGGATGAAACCTCTGGATTCGCCGCCGCGTTCGGTCCAAACTGATACGAGCCTCCGGCGGCTTCACCGAGCAGAAAACTTTAGAGCCGAGTTCGTCTTCAAACAGAAACGCTGCTCACTTTCCCCTCATGTCCTCCAGAACCAGAACCTGACCCGGTCCAGTCTCTGCAGAATCAGCTGTAAACCTCCAGGAAGTGATGAACAGCTGACTTCCTGCCCTGCAGATGTTTGTCTCCACGTTTTCTGGGTGAGCGGCTGCAGTGACAGAAACAGAGGCGGCGGCGCGCTCCGCTGCCAGAGGGGAGGTCAGAGGTCAGGCAGCAGGACGGCTCGCTGTGCAAAGCTTTCATCTGGCTCCGGCGGGAAGCTTTCAGACTCTGGGTCTCAGATCAAACAACCGGCTGAGAAAATGGAGGATGGAGGTTTAAAAAGATTCGGCTTTTCAGGTCTAAAGACAAAAACACCAAATATTACAAAGTATTTAATCTGGTTTATAGTTAAAGTTTCTCAGTTCACTTGACATGAAACAAACTTTCCAGTAAGATACAGGAGCTTGGCTCAGATTAATCTGCTTCATCAATGCTCAGGGATTGTTGACATGAAGAAGCTCCCGTATCCTCCTGCAAAGTGACTGCAGCTCAGTTTGGTCTCACGTCAAGTGAACCAAAATATTTTAAGTAGAAACTCGAAAATATTTGGTGATTTTGCTGTGAAGCTGCATTAATGGCACCGATGAAGGTTCTGGTGTGAAGTTCACAAACGACCCGATTCCTTTGAACAGTTCTTTTCTCTGAACGTTGGACCTGCAGTCCAATCAGCCACAAACATTTATTTTTACAGCTTTGCTTTCTAACAAATCATATTTATTTAAACCTGTGAATAAATAAGAAGTTTGGATGTTTGAGCTTCGTCGTTTGTTTTCGTCACATTTTGGCGGCAGCAAAAAGAACGAAGTCCAGTTCCAGCACCGACCTGCCAGTTCGGACTTCTCCCTCTAACCGGGACACAAACAGCAGCAGAAATGGCTGCAGCTGCTTCAGGCGTTGAGCCTGGAGATCCTCAGGAAGTCAGGCAGAGATCCGTCTTTATTTCTGCATAAAGCTCAACGCGAAGCTGAACCGCAGCAGCTTCTGCTGCAGCTTCTGCAACCTGCAGCAGAAGCTGCTTCACTGAAACAGAAGCAGCTCAGAGAAGCAAACATCTGAACAGTTTGTCAAACGTTTGAGGGAAAGTGATTCATTTTTGTGGGAAAGACGGAAAAACCCTCTGGATGAAGAACTGCTTCACATTTTACGCTTTCACCTCGTTTGGCTTCTGGAGAAACTTCAGGAAGATCTGAGAGGAAAATCCTCTGCAGAAACTCCAGAAAACCAACTAAAGCTTCCTCACATCCTTCAGGAAATGGCCTGAGGGCAGGACTAGGGTCGCTGTTCGCAGAGTTACAGGAATCATTTGGTTTATTTAACCAAACACAAAATAAAATGGAGTTCACTTTTCAAACTAAGGATCTAAATATTTCAGTTACTATCCAAATATTTTGGATTAAAGCAGACCGGAGTCGGGTCGAACCGGACCGGAGTCGGGTCGAGGCGGACCGGAGTCGGGTCGAAGCGGACCGGAGTCGGGTCGAGGCGGACCGGAGTCGGGTTGAGGTGGACCGGAGTCGGGTCGAACCGGACTGGAGTCGGGTTGAACCGGACCGGAGTCGGGTTGAGGCGGACCGGAGTTGGGTCGAACCGGACCGGAGTCGGGTCGAGGCGGACCGGAGTCGGGTTGAGGTGGACCGGAGTCGGGTCGAACCGGACTGGAGTCGGGTTGAACCGGACCGGAGTCGGGTTGAGGCGGACCGGAGTTGGGTCGAACCGGACCGGAGTCGGGTTGAAGCGGCTGATGAATCCTTAGTAAATCCCAGTAGTTCTGCCTTGCTGCAGGCAGCAGCTCAACAATCCGATGACCTTCCGGTGACCTTTCCAGGTCGGTTCTCCAGGGTTCGCCAGGAGGACAAGCTGCCTGTTGACCTGCAGTTCTTACCGTTTTCACAGCCTCTCCTCTCAGCCGGGTGTGAAGAGGCTGCTGAGCTCTTTAGCCGTTATTTCTTCTTTTTCAGTAACTGTGTGACTGAGAGTCAACATTTTCAGCCCCACTAACACATAAAATCATTCCCATGGGAATGATTTTATGTGTGGGACACAGAGATTTTATGTGTGGGACACAGAGACCTTCCCTCTTTGGCTGTTCTGCCCACAGGATACACAGCTTGCTGTGGGGGGGAAAACACATTTAAACCTGCGTTTCAGGACAGCCGTCGCATAAAAACACGATTTGTATCACTAAACTGCACAGAGTTGTCAGATTTATTGATGGTGAGGAAAATAGTCAAAAGGTTTTAGGGAGTTTTAAACTCACTATATGGAAGTTATCATGACAGCAATAAAACAAAATTCTAATTATCACAATAAATTTATCACGTGAATCGATAAACGATGCGATACGTCTTCCTCTGCTGTAATGAACCGGTTCCACAGCGGCTTCATATCGGACCTTCATGCAGCTGCAGAACATTTCCAGAACCAGACACTAAAGTCTCCGATCAGAGAAACTTTGATTCCTGCAGCAGGTCTGACTGACAAACCAGAACCTGCTGCTGGTCCAGAACCTGCAGCTGGTCCAGAACCTGATGGTGATCCAGAACCTGCTGCTGGTCCAGAACCTGCTGCTGGTCCAGAACCTGATGGTGATCCAGAACCTGCTGCTGGTCCAGAACCTGCTGCTGGTCCAGAACCTGCTGCTGGTCCAGAACCTTCTGATGGTCCAGAACCTGCAGCTGGTCCAGAACCTTCTGATGGTCCAGAACCTGCTGCTGGTCCAGAACCTGCTGCTGGTCCAGAACCTTTTGCTGGTCCAGAACCTTTTGCTGGTCCAGAACCTGATGGTGATCCAGAACCTGCTGCTGGTCCAGAACCTGCTGCTGGTCCAGAACCTTCTGATGGTCCAGAACCTGCAGCTGGTCCAGAACCTTCTGATGGTCCAGAACCTGCTGCTGGTCCAGAACCTGCTGCTGGTCCAGAACCTTTTGCTGGTCCAGAACCTTCTGCTGGTCCAGAACCTGCTGCTGGTCCAGAACCTGCTGCTGGTCCAGAACCTGCTGGTCCAGAACCTGCTGCTGGTCCAGAACCTGATGGTGATCCAGAACCTGCTGCTGGTCCAGAACCTGCAGCTGGTCCAGAACCTGCTGCTGGTCCAGAACCTGATGGTGATCCAGAACCTGCTGCTGGTCCAGAACCTGCAGCTGGTCCAGAACCTGCTGCTGGTCCAGAACCTGATGGTGATCCAGAACCTGCTGCTGGTCCAGAACCTGCAGCTGGTCCAGAACCTGCTGCTGGTCCAGAACCTGATGGTGATCCAGAACCTGCTGCTGGTCCAGAACCTGCTGCTGGTCCAGAACCTGCTGCTGGTCCAGAACCTGATGGTGATCCAGAACCTGCAGCTGGTCCAGAACCTGCTGCTGGTCCAGAACCTGCTGCTGGTCCAGAACCTGCTGCTGGTCCAGAACCTGATGGTGATCCAGAACCTGCAGCTGGTCCAGAACCTGCAGCTGGTCCAGAACCTGCTGCTGGTCCAGAACCTGCTGCTGGTCCAGAACCTGCTGCTGGTCCAGAACCTTCTGCTGGTCCAGAACCTGATGGTGATCCAGAACCTGCTGCTGGTCCAGAACCTGCTGCTGGTCCAGAACCTGCTGCTGGTCCAGAACCTGATGGTGATCCAGAACCTGCTGCTGGTCCAGAACCTGCAGCTGGTCCAGAACCTGATGGTGATCCAGAACCTGCTGCTGGTCCAGAACCTGCTGCTGGTCCAGAACCTGCTGCTGGTCCAGAACCTGCTGCTGGTCCAGAACCTGCAGCTGGTCCAGAACCTGCAGCTGGTCCAGAACCTGCTGCTGGTCCAGAACCTGCAGCTGGTCCAGAACCTGCTGCTGGTCCAGAACTTGCTGCTGGTCCAGAACCTGCTGCTGGTCCAGAACCCGCAGCTGGTCCAGAACCCGCTGCTGGTCCAGAACCCGCTGCTGGTCCAGAACCCGCTGCTGGTCCAGAACCTGCTGCTGGTCCAGAACCTGCTGCCTGGTTATCAGAGGATAAGCTATAAACCGTTTAGCACCACAATACATTAAAGATCCGCTGTTGTCATAGCAACCTTCCAGACCGGTTCTGTTCTGCAACCAGAACCAAACATGGAGAAGCAGCATTCAGCATCGATGCGCCACAAATCTGGAACAAACTTTCATAAAACTGACAAACTGCTGAAACCCTGAGCTCCTTCACATCAGCTGCTTCTGATGTGCAGAATGAAATGTTGACTGTAAAGCACTTTGAAAAGTCTTGCTGCTGACAGGTACTTTACTGTCTCTGGAGGGGAAAGCCCCCTGGTGGGGGACGGAGGCACTACCAATCAATCCCAGAACTGGTTTGATTGTTCTGGGATTGCTGGTCAACACCTGCAAAACAACAGCTTTTTTTACAGTATTTGCACAGTTTTTAGCCTGAGGTCGAGTGACATTTGACTGTAATCCTGTTTTAGCATCAACTCTTGTAGGAAATAAGCTTCTAGCAGCTGCATTGACTCTCCCAGTTCTCCTAGCTTGTACAGTACAGCGCATAAACGCTTGAAGTGGCTGCATGGACAGAACAAAGCCAGCAGCTGGAGGAACTCTGCTGCTCGCTGCACAGAAACTCAGTCATCAGCTGATAAATTAACTGTTGAATCAAGCAGATTTTCTGAGTCTTTTTGGTCTTTTCCTTCATTTTCTAATCATTATGTCTGTGGAAAGGTGAGGAGTGAAGCACTGGCAGACCTTCATCTTCCTCCCTCAGGTTCTTGTGAAATATTGTGTGACCTGCAGCACATTCCTTCTCCTCCAGTCTGTAACGCTCTGAAAGGTCACTTCATTCAAATATGTGCTGATTGAGTCAAAGGTTAAATCAGAGCACAGTCTAAATAAAAGCTGTGAAATGGAGCCTGTTGGAAACGATTTCTACACCAGACTGAAATAATTCCTCGTTCTCTGCAGAAAGGTCAACAATAAAACCTGAACTTTTCTGTGGTTCAGTAATCCTGGGTGTTGATGATGCTGATGCTGCTAGTGATGATGATGATGATGATGATGCTGCTCCTGTCCTGTTCTTGCAGCTTCACAGCAACAAGAAGTCAAACAATCTCAAACTGAGAACTTTCCTGTTAGCAAGTCTCAAATGAAGACCGACTGTCTTAATGTTAGCATTAGCTTATGCTAATGTTTCTAATGTGTTTAGCTAACATGCTTGAATAGCGTACCAGTAGTTAGTGAAACTAATGTTTTACCTATTTGTGCCACTGGTAATAACTACAGATTATTTTAAAGATAACATATATTCTCCATGACTACCATGGCGGCCATCTTGAAAGATAAACACATTGTGAGTAAATATGATTTCCAGTTGATTTGACACCAACATTTATCTTTGATAAAACAACATTTTCCAGGAGGCTCAGACATCTGGAGGCGATAAAGCGATGGATCCAGTCTGAGTTCTGCTTTTCTCCAGGTCAGCCGGTGTTTCCCTGAACTCACCACTGATGGTGGCCCTCTTGGGCAGGATGGTGATGGCGCCCACAGCCGCGTCCTCCAGCTGGTGGATGGGGCTGTTCTTGGAGCCCCAGCTGTCGGAGCCGATCCACAGGAAGTGTCCGACCTGATCGGCCCTCTTGGAGGCGTTTAGGATTCCCCTGCAAACAGAGCAAAACCCAGAGCTCAGCTTCTACGGAAGCCTGGAGGGCCAGAGACGCTGCTGACGAACGGCAAGGTTTCATCTGATCATCAACGGTTTATTAAACTCTCTATTCAATGACCTTTATTGTCCCAAAGCAAGGGAATTCAGGACAGAGCAAATTAACAAACCAACCAAGTTCTGCCTGAGAAAATTCTAAAAACACTGAAACAGATAATATTTCAATGTTTTAAGGAAATTAATAACCTGACCCGATGCATCGATGAGAACCAGATTAATCGATCTGCTGTAGCTGGCTCTAGGGAAACAACCGGATACCTGATGTCCTCGTCAGAGGCGAACAGAACCACGGTTCTGGCGTAGCGGGTCTCCAGCAGCTGCCGGATGATTTTGTCAAAGTCCGACGGTTTGTGTTCGTGGGGAATCTTCAGGGACTGAGCGATGCAGATTCCACCTGCGGAGATAAAAACACCTGGATGAGCCGAGGCGGTTCTGGCGGGGTCAGCCGTCGTCTGGACCCCACGGCTCTTTAACGCCTCTCTGCTGTGCAGCGGCTCCGACTTTGACTGTTCCCAACTCAGCCGAGTCTCTGCTGGTTTAAAAAGCCCCGAAGGAGCTCAGGCGGCCAGTTAGAGGGAAATGACATCACTTCCGATACCTGGTCAGTAGGCAGAAGGCAGAGTGGATAACCGATCCAGATCTAGATCGGTTAGATCTACTTTAACATAATTTCACTCAAGTTCTGAGAAACCGATCAAATGATCAATCATTTAATATGTAAACATCACATCATCAGACAAATCAGAATTTTGCTATTTTAAGGACGAAAATGACAATATTTTATAAAAGTAACAACATTTATCTAAATTTACATTTTTATTGAAAGAAAATTTAAAATTTCTGAAATTTTTCTCAGGAAAGAAAAAATACTTGAGAATAAAAGTCAAATGTAAAGCAGCTACTAAATGTAACCGAGAGACTAGTTACTGAACTAGTCATTGAACTAGTTTATTAACTAGTTACTGAACTAGTTTATTAACAAGTTACTGAACTAGTTTATTAACAAGTTACTGAACTAGTTTATTAACAAGTTACTGAACTAGTCATTGAACTAGTTTATTAACTAGTTACTGAACTAGTTTATTAACAAGTTACTGAACTAGTTTATTAACAAGTTACTGAACTAGTTTATTAACTAGTTACTGAACTAGTTACTGAACTAGTTTATTAACAAGTTACTGAACTAGTCACTGAGCTAGTTACTGAACTAGTTTATTAACAAGTTACTGAACTAGTTACTGAACTAGTTTATTAACAAGTTACTGAACTAGTTACTGAACTAGTTTATTAAACTAGTTACTGAACTAGTTTATTAACAAGTTACTGAACTAGTTACTGAACTAGTTTATTAACAAGTTACTGAACTAGTTACTGAACTAGTTTATTAACTAGTTACTAAACTAGCGAACTAGTGTAGTAACTAGTTAGTCCACTAACTAGTAACTGAACAACAAACTGTTTGGGAAAAGCAGAAGAGTAACCATGGCGACAGCGTCCAGCGGTAACCATGGCGACAGCGTCCAGCGGTAACCATGGCGGCAGCGTCCAGCGGTAACCATGGCGATAGCGTCCAGCGGTAACCATGGCGACAGCGTCCAGCGGTAACCATGGCGGCAGCGTCCAGCGGTAACCATGGCGACAGCAGAAAGAAACTCCGGCCTGTGATGATCAACATGTCGCCGATGAAAGCGGCCCGGCCCGGTTCTGATTCCTCGGGTCGCTCAGCAAAGCTTTCAGGACTCACTTGATCAAATGTCCTGAAATATTCACGATGTTCCTGCATTTTTAAAGAGCCGCGCGCTTCAGGGAAACGGCGTGGTTCCTGACGGAGCTGCGGCCCGAAGCCCGGCTCCTGGTTCTGCCGGAACCTTTTCTGGACTCCGCGCGCTCGGCCACCGACCTGTTCGGCTCGGCTCAGGCGGATTGGATCTCATCGCCTCGGATTCCAGCAACAAGCTGTGACGTGCTGAGCCTCTGAACCAACTCAGCTCCCAATCTGAGCTGAAGCTCCATAGAAACAGCAGCATCTCTTATTCACATGGAGATGTGAAGTTTTAGCTGCCAGACTGGTTCACACATCGAACCTCTTCAGGGTGAGAAGCGGTCATTCCTGTCAGCTAATTACTGCTGACACAGAATGGACTGGAGGAGGCAGAGATCAGTCAGAATGTAATCTAACAGCATCATCATAGTGAAATAATCAACTATCTACAGCACAGGAGGACGAATGACAGTCGATTCTGATCTGGACCGACTAATGCCTGGAATAATTTAAGTTTTAGTCTGTTTCCTTCCTGATGGTCTGGTCGACCCGGTTCTACTAGAACCAGAACATCTGGAACAGAACCTCCAGCTGCTGTGGTCCTGAGTCAAACCAGCCTGTTCCCCTCCTGGCCTGTGGGGGCGCTGCACCAACAACCACTGCAGGAAACAACACTAAAACCTCTGAAGACGCTGAGAGCAACTTCCTGTTTCACCAGATGAAACAATATGGAGGCGTCAGAGTTTAGTGATTTCTCTTTAGTCTTTGGCTGAAGACCAGGAGCCATTTCTGCTGCTAACGCTAAGCTAACATGTTAGCTCTGGTTACCCAGAATGCCCTGCGCTGTAGTCCACTTCCTGTTTTGGAGCGGTCTCTGGTCCGCTTAGTGTTCACATTCAAACCAACCCCAGACTGAGGTTTGGAGGAAGAGAGGTCAGAGGTCAGTTAGCGTTCACACCTCACCAACCGAACCAGAGTTTCTTGACAGACGGACTGGAGTCGGGTGAAAGCGGACTGATGGGACAATCCAGTGGTGCTGTCGCGCTGCTGCTGACCTCTGACCTCCTTGGCGGCAGCAGGAGCAGGAATCCAGGAAACGAAGATGTGATGCTGAGTCATTAGGGAACGGAAACAGGCTGTTCTCTGACAGACTCATGATGGAGGATGATGAAGGGCTCAGGATTCAGGATCCTGCACAGATTGATGCAGAGACTCTGCTGCAGGTTCTGACCCGGCTGTAGTTCTCTTGCTGGTGCTTGAACTGGGAGCTCTGGTCATCATGATCACAGCTGGTTCAGTGTGTTTGTCCCTCAGTCCTGGTCCCATCCGATCCCTTCTGAGTCAATCTGCCCTCCAGGTCCTGGATCAGGTCACGACCTACAGGGAGAAGACGCCCCCAAATGTGTCTCCCATCTCAGGCGGCCGGCCTGCTGCGATACGGCTGGGGCTAGAGCTCACCTGCTGCAGCTTGTGGATGGTGCTACTGGGATCAGATGCACTGGTGGTCCAATCTCAGACCGACCAAACCCACCAAGACACATGTACTGATGATGAGGAGGTGAGGAAGACTGACTCAGTTTCAGGGATGAGCTGCAGAGCCTGGTGTTCATGGAGGAGGTTTCTGTGTTTCTGCAGCAGAGAACCTGGAAGCTGCTGGTTGCTGCAGCAACGTGTGGTGAGCTCCGGCTCGCCGCAGCGTCCCGACGAGGTCGGCGAGTTGAGTTTCGTCATGATGATGTGGGAGGATGACAGAGGAGGCTCTGCTCAGAGCGCGGACAAGGAAACACTTGGAGCTGCTGGAAGCAGAACAGAGGCGGCCGCTCAGTCACAAGACGTCTCCAGCTGAGCGCCGGCATGTGGGAGTGAACGGAGGAAGACGTGGAAATCGGCTCCTCTCAGCTCCGCTGCGTCGCGCTTGGCGCCTCAGCATTTCACAGTTCAGCCTCACGGCAGCTCGTTACGACACAGCAGAAGGTCTTCGCACTGACAAAGAGGATCTGATGAGTGTTTGATGGCAGCCAGCAGCTAAAAATAAAGCCTCTGGAGTTGTTTTCATTTCAGATTAAAGGATGATTCCACTTTAATTCAGCCTGATTTACCTCCACAGAGAGCCTGTTTTCCCTGCGTGTCTCTGAAAGCCTGCAGCGCAACACGCCACAGCCTGCAGGATCTCCACATGGAGAGAAACCCAGGAATTATCCACATCCAGCCTGCAGACTGGCGACAGCATCAGAACCACCAGTTCCCTCTTCTGCTCCGGAACAAAGAGACAAAAAGAGAAACTGAGCTGAAACTGGGAGTATTATTTTCCCTGAACGTTTCAATCTGACAGACGAGCCACAGTTTAATCATCCAAACACAAATAATAACTTGTAATGTATGGAAGCTGTTGCTGCGCCTCATTGCTGCTCAACTAAATGCCTTCATTACAGATATTATAACAGCAGTAAACAGACAACCAGGGAGAAAATGAACTCATGTTCTGAGTTTTTAAATATACAGTCACCTGATCCTAATCCAGATTACAACACATTACGATGCATCGGCCTTTGGAAAGCGGGAACAAAAGTCAGAGTTGAAACTATGGAGCCAAACTGGTGCCATAAAGCTTGTTAAAAAAACAACAGAAAAAAACTTGGAACTGAAATAACTTTAATCTAAAGTTTTCATTTCCAGTTTCATCTGAACAAACTTTATGGCACTAACTTGGCTCCATACTCTAACAGCAATGACCCCATCAATCTGGGAAGGGTCAAAGGTCATCATTAGACCGTCGGAAGTTCATCATGCTCTCAGACGATGAAGGTCAGAGGATGAAGCTCAAGAGCGCCATCTAAAACTCTATAGGCCTCAGTTAGAAGGTTAAAGGTCATGACACTGAGCCAGTGGGGTCGTTTGGAAGAACTGAAATAGAAGAAAGACAAGATGGCCGCTGCACTGAAGTTAGCAGAGACGAGACTGATAGAACCAGGATGGAACCAAACAAACGTTTTCGTCTCAACCCGCTGCTGCGGTTGCAGAGCACGGTGGTGGAGGGCTGATGATCTGGGTTTGTTTTGCAGCCTGTGAATGCCGCCTGAAGCCCAGTCCAAACTGGGTCAGAACCATGACCGTCAGCAGAGCGGCCTGCACCTCGGCGGGCTGCCGGACCATCAGTCAGTGTTTAGTTTCTGACCGACCCGGCGCAGCGACATCGGGCCTGGTCTCTGTGGTGAGAAGCTGTGTGAGGACAGATTTCCCATGAGGCTTTGCTCCGAGGGACGGGGTGGGCCTGAGAGGAGGTATTTCGGCGACGGGCCGCAGGCGAGGAAAGGCTTCGCTCAGGACTCGTCTCCATCGACTTTCAGACGAATGAAGTCAAACTCCTCATCCCGACCAATCACAGCGCTTCCTTCCTTTTCGTCCTCCTCTGTCACAGAGGGACTCGGAGCTCCACCCGGGTTTCATGGAGCTCCACCCGGGTTTCATGGAGCTCCACCCGGGTTTCATGGAGCTCCACCCGGGTTTCACGGAGCTCCACCCGGGTTTCACGGAGCTCCACCCGGGTTTCACGGAGCTCCACCCGGGTTTCTCGGAGCTCCACCCGGGTTTCACGGAGCTCCACCCGGGTTTCACGGAGCTCCACCCAGTAACTTCAGGCTCAGGTGAGTGAGTACGGGAAGCCGTTTGTAAAATTACTGTTTGTTGTGTGAATGAATTTACTACGGTGGCCCTGAGGTGCAAAACACAACAACATTAACAAAAACACAACAACATTAACAAAAACACAACAACATTAACGAAAACACAACAACATTAACAAAAACACAACAACATTAACGAAAACACAACAACATTAACAAAAACACAACAACATTAACGAAAACACAACAACATTAACAAAAACACAACAACATTAACGAAAACACAACAACATTAACAAAAACACAACAACATTAACAAAAACACAACAACATTAACGAAAACAAAACAACATTAACGAAAACACAACAACATTAACAAAAACACAACAACATTAACGAAAACACAACAACATTAACGAAAACACAACGGAAGAGGTAGGTCCCAGTGGGAGACCTAAGAAGTCGCTGATTGGACGACAGGTCGTTTCTCTTTTGAACCGGAAGTTATTCTGGCTTTAACTTGATTGCTAAAAACATGAATGTTCTCAGTGATCCAAACCTCAGTACCGTTATTCGGGAATATTTTGAGTCAGGATATACATACGAGGTGATACTGGACATGCTCCAGACCAACCACGAAGTGTCGGTTAGCCTGCGTTCTTTAAAGGCTCATTTGAAAGTAGCAGGGCTGCATAGACGAGGCAACTACTCTCCACTTTCTGACGTGAGACGTGCCATTATGACCGAGCTTAGAGGACCAGGCCAATTATTTGGCTATCGGACCATGTGGCAGGTTCTCAAACAAAAACACAACCTGCGTGTCAAACGTGATGTTGTAATGAGACTGCTGAGGCAGCTGAATCCTCAGGGCATCGCTCTGAGGACTCGCAGGAAGTTTACCAGACGCACGTACCACTCTATGGGGCCCAATTACATATGGCATGTAGATGGCTACGACAAACTGAAGCCATTCGGCTTGGCCATCTCAGGATGCATTGATGGGTTTTCTAGAAGAATGATGTGGCTTGTTTGTGGGGCAACAAACAACAATCCCTCTGTCATTGCCCAGCATTACATAAACTGTGTCAAGAGTCTTGGCGTAATACCAATGAGACTGCGAACAGACCTAGGCACAGAGAACGGGACTATGGCAGCAGTACAATGTACCCTCCGGCATGCGCATACGGATTATTATGCTGGATCATCAAGCCACAGTTACGGATCATCCACAGGGAATCAACGCATCGAGTCATGGTGGTCTTCTTTCAGGAGAGGAAGGTGGGTACATCTGTGTTTTTCAGATGTGAAGTACAGCGAAAGCTGATCACAGTGTAAAGTCCATGTAAGCATAAAGTCTGAGTTTAAACGGATTTATAAAGTACGTCCAAACTCTTTGTGTGAAAAACAAGGTTCTGGTGATTATAGCAACATACACATAAGTCAGATGTCAGTGAAGCAAATTTTTCTAGTTAGGCAGGTTTAAGCTTGTGATTTGTTTATTGTTGTCATGACAACTTCATAGGAAGTGCCTATGGAGTTGACAGTCACATGGCTATCGTGTTGCCAGGTAATAAGTGAATTTGTTTCAAACATTTATTTTCATAAGGCTTTTGCAATTTTTTTGTCCAAGTTATAATTTTTCATTGTTTGGTATCAGATGTTATACAAAGTTTTAGTTTGCACGTGGAAAAGTAGGGCGCGATATTCAGTGTGACATACATTTATAGCATGCTTTCAATGTTATGGACATGGAGAAGGACAATTTGTTTTTATCATTTTAATATGAAAAAGAACAGAACCGTTTCTAATTCAATTTATCCTCAGGTCTCAGTTTTGGATGGACTTGTTCGGAGATTTAAGAGACTCTGGAAACTTCAACGGAAGCCATGAGCACCAGTGCTTGCTCAGATTCTGCTTCACCAGAGTTCTGCAGAAAGACCTGGATGAATGCAAAGGTCTCTGGAATAACCACAGGATCCGGCCAAGCAGACTTGCATCATGTCCTGGGGGGATTCCTAACGAACTCTATCTCTTGCCTCACAGGTAATTGACATCTTCACAAATAGAAATAATGCTTGACATTACATAACAATGCAGAAGTGTTGTTAGGACACTTATTATCTATGTACAAGTAACCTATAGCTATTAATGTACACAAAAGTACACCCTTCACATTCCGCAGCTATTAAAGTATATTTTGTCATGGGATAACACCAACAATTCACTTTGACACAATGAAAAGTAGTGTGAGTACAGCTTATATGTGAAGGGTGTATTTGCTTTTGTGATACACTGTATAAGCTGTCACTGATAGTGCTCACTATAGCCAGCAAAAAAAAAGACGATTCCAAGTATTTGTACTAAATAGAGAAAACAGCTGTCACAATTCTATTATTAATTATATTCTGACTTTGCAGATATGGATCAAGAGATTGTGGATTTCCTGTTGAGGACAGCGATCTGGATGTTTTCCCAGAAGCAAGTCAGGTGACAGAGTTGTGTGGGGATAAAGACATCGAGGAATACCTACAGGAAGCCATGCAACAACATGGACAACAGCAGTCACAAGACTGGGAGTCAGCAATGGAATTGTATTTATTGCTCAAAAACATTGCGAGGCTGTGAACACAAACAAGCAACATCAAATCTTATATTTTGTCTCCTGTTCATTTTGTTGATATAAAGTGAAAACTTCATTGTTATTCAGAATTAAACTTTTTTTAATACACAAAATTGTGCATTTAGTTTGAACTATGAAGATAAAATCTGACATTACACTCTTAATTAACAGTTTTGAGTATTTGTTTTAACTTGCTAAAAGTTGCGAGAAAGAACATAACAAGAAAAAGGTTTTGCAAAACAAACTATTTTTTGGAAACACATTTAACCAAGAAACCATGTTTTTCAATTTTAGTAACATCCAAATCCCGGAGCATTTTGTATTCCAAAGTCCATGTTAGCTCTAAAATCAGCGTAAGATTCCAAAAGTGGCAGTTTAAGTGTGTTTGCACAGGTGTTTGCAATAGGAAAGGGTGAATCACTCAAAAACTCAAGATGTGGGGATGGCATCATGCCTGCTGGTGGAATCGTTGTGAGACCTGTTGCAAACATCAGGACTTCCTCTAGAGATACAGCAGTTGTTTTCTCTGAAAGATGATAAACAATGTAGTTAATAGATAATGCCTTGTACAAATTATTTCTTTTTATTTTTGTTTTCCAATAAAACAAACAATTTTAGAATAACACAATTTGTTCTTACTAACCTTCGCAATCAAGCAAATAATCTGCCCAGAAGACAATTGTTTTGCCCTCTTTTGCCGCCTGTTGCTTCCTACAGGGCTGAGATCTGGTTGGAACATGGTCTCCAAGTCTGAAGCAGTCAGAGCCTTGGCAGAGAAACATAGGACTGGGGACAGGACACTGGAATGCTGCTGCAGTGCAGCAAAAAAACCAAGACTTGCCAGTCCATCTTTGAATCTGTTAACGATAAGCAATGTACTGTATTGATAGAGTATATATAAAGTCAAAAAGATAAACAAAAAATAAAAAGTAAAGCTAATTTTCCACAGTGCTCAAAAGTTATCATTAAAAGTAAAATATAAAATTGAAACTTAAAAATGTTTTCATTGTGCAAAAAACGAAATTGTCATGCAACAGTATATTTTTATAAGTCACATTGAAATATTTTTCATGTGCCATGCCTATGATTAATCTGTGTAATGGTGAACAACGATTCAAAACCTGTTGCACATAAAATTCCGAATGGATGATAGAAGTGGTGAAACTCAGAATTTGGCAAGTATTGCTCTGTATATTCTAATATTTCACACAATTTTTCAGAAAAACACAAAAAGATGTGTTACCTACAACAGATTAAAAACAAAAACAATTAAGGAAGGAAGCTGGTTAAATTTGATGTCTGATCTACTAATGTCATATCTCTAATCTGATCCCAATTTTTTATACCTAATTAGTTTTTCTTAGTTAATTAGTGTCATGATGTCAGTGGCAGTTGTTCACAGTATTGACATTGAGCATTGATACTCTAGATCAACACTCAATGATCTTGAGTACTGAGCATAGAACTTCAGAATAGTTTTTAATTATTTATAACTATTTATTGATTACCGTTGAATGGCACTGTGGTTTCTGTCAAGGATGTACCATCTGAGATACTCCTCTACAAAAGCTTTCTTCTCAGAAGCCTTCACCCCTCTGAAGCATCCAGCAGTTTGGAACATCCCACTGTTTTGCAAAATTACATTTAGCAGAGATTCATCTGAATCAGCTTCCAGGACCTACAAAACAAGCAGTATTCCAGAAGAAGTACAGAACTATAAATTTAAAAACATCTTTGTTATGAATAAAAACATAGCATTAACATTTTGTGTGTTTGTAATGTAACATCTGTTGAGACAGGCTGAAATCGGGCCTTTCACAGCAAAAACATTTGTCAAGCTTTGATAAAACAAACTTGGTACTTTGTCATAATCATTTCGTAATCTCAATCTGAAAATAATAATAATAATGAAAATAATCTCCAGTTGGCATACAATAAATCTATTCCCTATGCCTAGGTAATTTCCTACCTGTTTCAGAACTTTCCCTATCTCCTCATCTTTAACATCTTCAACAGTGGCGCTGAAACTTGGATTCCCTATCATGTAGTTGACCAGGTTCTTTGAGAGAAAATGTGGTGCTGGTCCCCCATGTACAATACATACGGCAATCATCTTTCCTGCTAAAAAATACTCATCTTCCCTGGCAGCTGTTGTACAGAGCACAGAATTACTGTGGGTAATTAAATCTTAGATCTGCTTATGACAAAAACATAAGCTGATTTTTCAGCAAATTTTGATTTTAGAAGTACTACCACTTCACAAACCCAAAAAAATGTCTCACCTCTCGAATTGCACACAATGTAACGACTTTCTGGGGGTCCATCAAAGATCGGGCGATTTCTCAGAATGGCCATGAGAAGCGTGAGAAACTCACGCCTCGGGCCACCTGTGTCCAACCCTTCCTCCAACCAGCCAGCATCATCGTTAAATTTGATGAACATGTCATTCTTGTCGGAGTATGTGCTCCTCTGAAAGCCCCGAACAGCTCCATCCCACACATCAGTCCGACATATATTGAACCGGCTGACTTTCTTGTGGTCAATACCCATGGCCAGTTCTGCAATAATATCATGTGGCTGCACATTTGTTTCTCTAGAAAAAAAATATTTTAAAGCAGTTGACTGATCACACTTAGCATTATGTAATTATGCATGAGCAGGATGCTGGTTAATTTAATACAAAATATTAAAATTACTAACGCATGTTCTTCTGGGGGCAGGTCTTGCTTTTTGTCTTCGGTTAAATATTCAATCCCATCATCATCATCATCATCATCATCATCATCAATAACAATGGGCTCAAAGAGATTGGTGTAGTCTCTGTGGAGCAAAAACGTGCACACAATATAGATGGAGGGGGGGGAACTTCCAACTGTCCTTCACAAAACATTCCATTTATGTCAGAAGTTATATTTACAACATTCGAAGTAAATAAATGCACTTTAGATGACACAATAGATCTATCAGTATCACCTTGTCATGATGACACAACACACACCCTTCTTCTTTATGACAGAAGCCATTACACACCTGTAACAGGAGCTCTGGACAGGGACACATTCACTGGTGCTTGGATTGTTGCTGTTGTCATCCAAATCCATAACCTGAAAACAGAGAAAAGAGTAAAATGAAACTTAATAATTGACTATTCTACAGTTATTTTAATTATCAAAATATTTTACTAAAAGGTTTGAGATAAAAATCTGTGGATTGTGGTGTGACATAATAAAAAGTTGTACCTGTTTTACTTCATTTGCAAGTGCAAGATCCCCAACACCATTACTTAAAGGACAATGAAAAAACATATTAATGGGTAATTTGAACATATGAAGTCATATGAAGAAAGCAAGGGTGGTCTAATAATTATTTCCAATCCAGTATATTCAACATTTAAAAACAAGCATCTTGAAAAAAAAAAAAAAAAACTTCATTGGACATGTTCCCATAACCACATAATTTACAAATATCCACATTCAACATGTCACCAATCCATACTATATGAAATGCAATGAAGGTTATAATACTATTGATACATGTACACACATCATGCTATGATATGTCCCTAAAATATAACTTACTGTGTTTCTGCCACCTGTTGTAAACGACTGCTCTCATCCATAGGTTCCCATGGCTGAAGAAAATGAAACACAATTTAACATCTTCATAGTCCAATGAAGCTTAGGTAAAATGCGCTTGTTGTGATCACTCAACCAAATAAAAATGACAGACCAAATACATTTGAAGTTGGACTTACCAGTGTATCAGCAAGATCAAAGTCGGAGGATTTTCTAATAACAATCTCTGGGTCAGAATCGGACAAGTCTGACAATTTTCCAACTGCAAAACAAGGGGAAAAAAACAAACCAACTTAACTTCTACTAAGTGATAGTACTGTATTCGGTCAACTATATTACATTGTATCAGAAAGGACAAACATAGCACTGGTAAAAACAAAAAACTGAATGTACCTATCAAGTGTCCAGAAAGTAACTTCACATGTCAGAGCCAATCTATGTACACCTATTACTTTATTGATTCATGCCACTAATGCTTAATTGCACAGCTTTAAGATTTAGATTTATTGCAGTTATTGCAATGTGCCAATGTAAGCGCAGACATCTGAGCTTACCTTCTTCAAAGTCTCTTTTCAAGCAGAGGAAAAGACATATCCTTTGATATGTCTTGCCAACTTCAGCCTTGTAAGCTGCAAGGGTAAAAGGTGTTTGTGTCCCAGGGATATTAATAACCTCTGTCCCATCTGGGTACAGAAGGAGGAAAGGTCCATCTTTGACATCTTTGTTGAAGTCCTTCATTTTTTTAATAGCAAGACTGAGGAGAGGTGTGGCAGAGACTTCTGGGTTTGTTGCAACCGAAATGGTTTTTCCACGCCGTGGTTTAGACAATTGTTCAGAATGGTCATCAATCCAATATTTATCTGAAACAAAAAATTATGTGGAAGATTGAGCTATGTTTTTTTTCTTTTTTAAAGAATAGTAAAAAAAAATGTGTTGTTTTTAATTCCTCCTGGCTTATATTACAATAACATGCAAACAGATCCATTAGCTATTCATATCAGTCATTTTCAAGCTTTTACTTTTGAACTACAGATTTGGATACAAACAGAACAATGCTTTGACAACTATTACTCAGTAATTAATCAATAGATGATTTACTGTTTTGACTGATCATGAATTGACAGTTTGCTGTTACTGTTAAACAATTATTCTGTATAGCTGTGCTATGCAGAACTTTCTTTAAGCAAGTCCATTAGTTAAAAGCTGCTTGTTTTGGTTGGAGCCATACCGGACCTACCCTAACTTTCTTTTTGTCCTTTTGTTTTAACCCCTTTTTCCCAAGAGAATATTTTTGTCGCTCCTCATTTTTCTTTTTTCTGTATTCAAGGAAGGTGCTGAGGGCTGGTGTAGGGCAGGATGGGATAGTCTGTTGTGCTAGAAGTAAAGCAAATAAAAAATGTCGCACATCACATTCATGCAAACAGACGATATGTATTACGAACTGAAGTAAAGCTGCCACAAGTATAAATTAAGTGCGAGTTCGCTTCCGAAAGGCGGCTAGCCTGATCGCAGTGCAGCAGAACCAGAACGACACAAATTATCCTAAAAAAGTAGTGCCTAAGGCTGTAACGGACCTTACGATATATAGCTAATACAATTCTGCTGTATTATAGCGACTTTGTGTACTTTTAATTGCATTTATAATGAACAACTAAATGACTGGACACGGTCTGGAGACCACTAGCGTTAGCAAGTTACTACATCCATAAGAAATATGAATCTTCCTTTATGCTTTTTAACTTACTTGAACATTGTGGAGTATCCGCCATACAAGTTTCTTCAAGCCTTTTGCCACAATTACTGCAAAAATTTGGTGACGGCTCAACCACCTCCTTTCCACAGTTCGGGCAATACATGGCGAAGTGACTGTGTTCCCGCTTCCTTGGGTTCTCATTCAAAAGAAGCACTCCAGCATAACTTCCGGTTCAAAAGTAAAACGACCTGTCGTCCAATCAGCGACTTCTTAGGTCTCCCACTGGGACCTACCTCTTCCGTTGTGTTTTCGTTAATGTTGTTGTGTTTTTGTTAATGTTGTTGTGTTTTTGTTAATGTTGTTGTGTTTTTTTAATGTTGTTGTGTTTTTGTTAATGTTGTTGTGTTTTCGTTAATGTTGTTTGTGTTTTTGTTAATGTTGTTGTGTTTTCGTTAATGTTGTTGTGTTTTTGTTAATGTTGTTGTGTTTTCGTTAATGTTGTTGTGTTTTTGTTAATGTTGTTGTGTTTTCGTTAATGTTGTTGTGTTTTCGTTAATGTTGTTGTGTTTTTGTTAATGTTGTTGTGTTTTCGTTAATGTTGTTGTGTTTTCGTTAATGTTGTTGTGTTTTCGTTAATGTTGTTGTGTTTTCGTTAATGTTGTTGTGTTTTTGTTAATGTTGTTGTGTTTTCGTTAATGTTGTTGTGTTTTTGTTAATGTTTGTGTTTTCGTTAATGTTGTTGTGTTTTCGTTAATGTTGTTGTGTTTTCCTTAATGTTGTTGTGTTTTCGTTAATGTTGTTGTGTTTTCGTTAATGTTGTTGTGTTTTTGTTAATGTTGTTGTGTTTTCGTTAATGTTGTTGTGTTTTCGTTAATGTTGTTGTTTTTTTTGTTAATGTTGTTGTGTTTTTGTTAATGTTGTTGTGTTTTCGTTAATGTTGTTGTGTTTTCGTTAATGTTGTTGTGTTTTTGTTAATGTTGTTGTGTTTTCGTTAATGTTGTTGTGTTTTTGTTAATGTTGTTGTGTTTTCGTTAATGTTGTTGTGTTTTCGTTAATGTTGTTGTGTTTTCCTTAATGTTGTTGTGTTTTCGTTAATGTTGTTGTGTTTTCGTTAATGTTGTGTTTTCGTTAATGTTGTTGTGTTTTTGTTAATGTTGTTGTGTTTTCGTTAATGTTGTTGTGTTTTTGTTAATGTTGTTGTGTTTTCGTTAATGTTGTGTTTTTGTTAATGTTGTGTTTTTCGTTAATGTTGTTGTGTTTTGCACCTCAGGGCCACCGTAATTTACTGTAATCTGTGGCGGAATAAAAGGACACATTTATTCTAGCATTATTTATCACCGATCACCCCGATCCTGCTTAAAATTTTACAAAACACCGGTCCTCTGGTCCTGGTAGCTCCAGTGGTTCTGTAATTGTCCCGGTTGGACCAGAACCAGAGGAAAACCGCGTGCAGGTCCAGAGAGTTTATTAAAACTGAACCAATTAGAAACGACTTTATAGATCGGAAACTGATCAGCTTCAGAGAATAAAGGAGTCCAGGTGGGTTCATCTGAGACCCAGAACCGAGACCAGAACCAATACCGAGACCAGAACCAATACCGAGACCAGAACCAAGACCAAGACCAGAACCGAGGTCAGAACCAGGACCAGAACCGAGGCCAGAACCAAGACCAAGACCAGAACCGAGGTCAGAACCAGGACCAGAACCAAGACCAAGACCAGAACCGAGGTCAGAACCAGGACCAGAACCAAGACCAAGACCAGAACCAGAACCAGGACCAGAACCAAGACCAGAACCAAGACCAAGACCAGAACCAAGACCAGAACCAGGACCAGAACCAAGACCAGAACCAAGACCAAGACCAGAACCAAGACCAGAACCAGGACCAGAACCAGAACCAAAACCAAGACCAGAACCAAAACCAGAACCAGAACCAGAACCAAGACCAGAACCAGAACCAAGACCAGAACCAAAACCAAGACCAGAACCAAAACCAGAACCAGGACCAGAACCAAGACCAGAACCAGAACCAAGACCAGAACCAAGACCAGAACCAGAATCAATATCAGAACCAAGTCCAGAACCGAGGCCAGAACCGGGCCCAGAACCAAGACCATAACCACAACCACAACCGAGGCCAGAACCAGAATCAATATCAGAACCAAGACCAGAACCAGAACCAAGACCAGAACCAGAACCAAGACCAGAACCAGAACCGAGGCCAGAACCAGAATCAAGACCAGAACCAGAACCAAGACTAGTGATCCTTCACAATAAAATGTAAGCATCATTCTGCCCAGTGATGGATATTGTCTCAGTCATGAGGGTAAAGGTCCTGAGTTTCTCCTGTCCGGCCCGTTGGACCGGAGCTGGAAGTGAAGCGTCGTTCCTTTGGGTTGTGAGGTATAGAACCCGCAGCGTCAGGTGATGGATCGGCTCATGTGTGATGTTATGACTGGGCCGTCAGCGCGGAGCGGCGGCTGATGGATGAGCTCATCGCCTGCATGTCGGCGGCTCGTTTTAATGTTTTAATGCAGTGAGATGGGAAACGCAGAGGGTTCCCCGCATGACAGCAGCTCCATCAGTTATTGATTTTGTCGGATGATCAAACATAATTTCTGCGTTTCTGTTCCCGTGTTGCGCTCCGAGGCGTGACACTCTGCAGAACAAACGCTGCAACGGCGCTAAACCTAATAAAACAGGATTTTCTTTCGGTCCCAGCAGGTTGCTGCTCCGGTTCACTGGAAAACCTGTCAACCAGGAGACGCTCCCCCACCACATCACATCCATTACTCCCAGTTACTCTCTCATGGCTCCCATTCACTGCTCCCAGGCGTGTCGGGAGGCTGAATGCTGATTTCAGACACATTTTCTGCACTTATGTTTCCTTCCAGCTGATGTGGATTGACAGGAAGCGCTCCAAGTGTCAGAGTTTTAACTGGAAGCACTGGAGGTGAAACGCTCTGTGCAGGTCCAGGGGTCAAGGCTGCTGACGCTCCAATCACCTCCTTCCACCGCAGCCAGCACTCAGAGCAGGAGCTGGCCTGACTGACGGCTGCATGTTGGGAGAGTGGAAAACATCTCAGTGGTTTCACAGAAAGCCCTCATTGTTGTAGCACCGGTATCACACCACTAACTGCTCCACTGGACCAGTTCTAGGCTCTAAGGAGTTTTGTCCCCTTTCATAAAAATGAAAGGGGATAAAAAAATAATCATTCAAGAGTATATCACTCTTTCTTTTTGCCCTTTAGTTTACCTAGTTTATTTTAATAAGACTAATCTAACTTAATCGATCTCCGTTCTCCTAGGTTATTTTAGACAGACTAATTTGACTTAGTCTGTCAAATAAGATTGCACCTATTTTAGGATTCCCATTTTTCTTGAGTTAACTCGTTTCCTTTCTTTTACAGGTAAGAAAATACCTCCAACACAATCAAACCAAAATGGACCACAATTATTCAAATCACATTCAAAGACATAACATATGAAAATTAAAGTATGGCACTTTAAATTCGAGTTCAAGTCCAAATATGAATTCAGGTATTCAGTTCAATAGAAACTTTTAGTTCAACTCAGTCCAAAACAAAAAAATAATTAAATAAGTTCTCAGTTCGATCTAGTTCCTGATGCTCCTACCGCCCTGGCAGCGAGTTACCACATGCAGGAGAGTCCCTCCCTAATGCGATGGAGAAGACGAATTGAAGGTCTGGGTCGCCATCTTGAATCCCGTCTGTAAATGTGCAGGCCGCACACGGCAGACCAATCCTCGCTCCCAACAATAAAACTCTTTTTAAATCCTCAAATTATACTAATAAGTTCTTCTTAAACCCAATATGTTGACCAAATAACATTTTATGACGGAGCATTTCTTCGTAACGGCTACGTTTTTTAGCATTAGCTCTCCGCCAAAAGAAAAAGTACAACACAGTGAAGTGCGGAAAAAATAAACATAAAACTCACCGAAACCGATGTAGCTTAGTTCTCATAAAATTCCCGTCAGTTCCCGACCAGATAGATTATGTTTCTCAACTATAATATTAACTTTTGCTGTTAATTAATCACCGCTCTTTTCCTCTGATTCCTCCTCTGCTCTCTCTCCCGCCGGCCTGTGCGCTGCAGCGTCACTCACTGCAGCGTCACTCAGCGTCACCTGTGACGCTGGTCCCTTAAAGGAACAGCGACATGATTTTCTGTCTACAGACTTTTAATCAACTATTTATTCCCATTTACGTCACATTTTAACGTGGGTTACATTCTGCTCTCCAAACCAACTAAGAGCCGCACGCTGAGGCAGTTCGCTCTGAATGAGGCAGACACCAAGCCGCGAGCTGGGGCAGCTGCCAGGATCCACCGACACCAGAACCGGACACAAACCTCCATTTACACTTCAATAAAAACAAAGCGCCCTGCGACAGACTGGCGACTTGTCCAGGGTGAACCCCGCCTCTCGCCCGGAACGCAGCTGGAGAGGCACCAGCACCTTTCGACCCCGTTAGGGAGAAGGGTGATCAGAAAATGGATGGATGGATGGATGGATGGATGGATGGATGGATGGATGGATGGGATGGATGGATGGATGGATGGATGGATGGATGGATGGATAAAAACAAACCTCCAGAATAAAACAAAGACGCTCAAAAACAAATAAAACTATTCATAAAGCAGCCAGAACCCATTTACAATCCTGGTTCATCTCCACGTAGGTAATAAACTCTGCAGACATTTTGACCTTCTGTCATTAACTCATCGCCTCCAGATGCTAAGCTAACATAGAATCACTGACTAATTTCCCCTGGGAATCAATAAAGTACTTTTGATTTTGAATTTTATGCAGACGCTTCATGTGCACCGCTGTAGATTCTCTCACCTCAGCATGTCAGATGCTGACAGCATGACCTGATTTCTCAGTAATTTGACGCTCAGAGCGTTGAGATAAATCTTCAGAGGCAGTGGCAGAGCCTGAGGGGTGGCCGGGGTGGCACTTGCCACCCCCAACAGAGCCCTTGCCCCCCCTACTGCCACCCCACTGGAAATGGTCATTTTATAATATAATACTTATGAGATCGGCAAAGATTTGCCAGGAAAACTGTACTTTCCGACTGTCCCTGAAGGCAGCCCGATGCCCGACGCTGTTCATTGGTTAAACTGACATGTAGTTCCTGCTTGATCCAAAACACATCAACGGCTTTAGAGTTACAGCGTCAGGAGTTCTGCAGGTATTTCCAACATTTTACCGCTCAGCAGTAACCGCTGTTACTTTCCTAATGAGAGGCGGCTCTTGTCATACATTTCTAAAAAGAAAC